TCTGCCTCTCACTTCCTCCTGCAGCTGGCATCATCATTCTGATGACACTTTGCAGGTGGAGAGGGAAAGACCCCGGCCCAAGGCTTCCTCCGTGGCTGAGCTGGGGCTGGAAGCCAGGGCTGCGGCCCCGGGAGCGTGCAGGCACGAGAGCCAGAAACAAATGTTCAGGCAGAGTGCAAGAGGCAACTCCTCCCGGGAGGTCTGAGGCTGGGCTTGGCAAGGCCCCAAACTCTCGCTCCCCATCACCGGCCACCTCCCACTCAGGACCGGCTGGAGGATGAGGCTCGGGCCCAGGGAACACGGGCTGGCCCTGGCAGTCCCCCGGTGCCCGCTGTGGGCAGGGCACACCGCCTGCCAGCTCCCTGCCACTCTGGGCTCGAGGCCAGGCTGGAAGCAGCTGTCACACCAACCCAGCACCAGTCTTCAGCTCCCTGTTTCTTCTTATTGGAACAAGACCTCACAGGTCTGCTCCCAGCTGGTGGTAAGATGCCGAGCAAGGCCCTGCCTCTCACTGGGCTTCCCTGTCTCTCTCTGGGAAGAGATGCAGGGGGTCGGTGGAAAGGGGTTGTCTCAAAGGAATCCACCAACTCTGACACCGCAGGCAGCATAGCACAGGGATGAAATCCCAGACACGAGAGCCAGATGACATGGTTCCAATGTATGGCCCAGGCAAGCTGCCCACCACCATCTCTGGGCCTCAGTGTCCTCATCCGTAAAACGAGAATTACAGTAGAAAAAAGATGGAAAATAAATACACCAAGATATTTATATTGATTATCTGAGGTGTGGAGAGTTATTTTTTATTTTCCTGTCTGTTTTCTAAATTCTCCATTATCCAGTGTTTATAACACAAAAAACAAATATAGTTTCTTTGTAAATTAACTTTAAGGAGATATAATTTACTTATACTATAATATACCCATTTAAAAAATGGGAATAACCCTATCTAATAAGGATGAAATATGCAAATTGACCATAACTCCAAGACAAAGATGGTGGTGCCCACAGCCAATAAGGAGGGAATATGCAAATTGACCTGACAAGGCGAGAGGCAGAAGGTGGCTCTGGTGGGAGTGAAGGCATGCTGGGAGCCAGGGGAAGGAAGGCCTATTCTTGCACGAATCTCCATGCATCCAGCCTCTAGTAATGAATAATAGTGTCCATCCTATAGATAGATTGCTTTGGGGAGTGAATGGGTTAATGTATGTACAATCTTAGCTGGTGCCTGGAAATGCTATTGTTTGTTAAATAAATAAGCGCAAGACAAGCCTGGCTTCCTCCTCCTCTACCTGCTCACCTGGACCGGACCTCTCCCTCCCTCCCCCAGCACCAAGTTCCTCTATCGCCTGCCCCCACGTTCACCTCCGCAATCTTTTTCTGTACCCAAAGGAATTGCATTAACAGTCAAATCTGGCCATGCCCCTGCCCTGTTCAAAAGCCTCCCATGGCTCCCCTCCACCCGGGACGGAAAGCCCTGCCTCGTACACGAGACACCGTTTAAGCAAGTTATTTAACGTCTCTGTCCTTTTCTATTCCTAACTGAAAAAGAGGGATCACCACAGCATCTCCCTCACCAACGTACAGGGCTCCACCGTGTCTGGGTGGGGTGCACAGTCTGACTCATGGCCTCTCTCACCGGTCTCGGCGCCCCTCTCCCAGCTACTGTGCTAGCCTGCTCCTCCTTGAACTTGCCAGGCACGGTCCTAGTTCAGGGCTTCTGATTGGCTGTTGCTTCCACCCTTCCACCATTCTGGGAGGCTCTTTCCCCAGCAATCAGCCCAGCTCACTCCTTCATCTCCTTCCAGCCTGTGTCCAAAAGTCACCTTCTCAGTGATTCCCCTGACCACCCCATTTAACACCGAAATTCCTCCCTCCCCTTCCCCTTCACACACCAGAAACGCACTCCTACTAATGTGCTCCAGCTCAGCTATCATCATCTGTTTTACTCACCCCCTTCCCCGCTTTAGACAGTAAGTTTCTTTACAACAGTACTTTTGTATTACTATATATATTTTTTTATTACTGTCAAGACCCCTCCACTCACAGGCCACACCTAGCACAATGCAGGTGCTCCATACACGATGGCTAAATGACCAAATGAACAATGTAAAGCGCTTAGGACAGAATTGGGCAGGTACTCTCTCTTTAATGATTTCCACTTAGGCTGAACCAGATAAAACTGCCATTTCTTATAAGTCAAAAGCAGCCAGATACTGGCCACGTCACACGGTTTAACTAATGTTTCCCGAGGCAGCTCGCAGGCACCTGGGAGGCATCTCCAGGCCTAGCACACAGGACGTGCCCAGTGTGTGTTTGTCCACAGGAGGAAGTCACCTCCTCCTGGCCCTTCACACCCGGTGTGATTGCAAACCATCTCCTCTCTGTCTGAAGGAGGCAACACACACACACGGTCGACTTAAAGTAATACACAGAGGATCTTGCCACATTATTTTTTGGTCCCCCTTAAAGTCTCTGTCCCGATATCTGGTAAGGCACATCAAAACAAAGACACACCACGCTCTCAAGTCATCCAGGCTTTGGCCATTTGGGAAGAACCAAGGTCTGAGGCTGAACGAAGTCCCTTCCCAGGGAAAACAACCAGCCGCCTGCCTCTGAGGGGATTCCTGTGATGACAGTGGAGGGACGCTGGGACATTCTTTGGTTATTTCTGTGTTCACTGCTCTTTCCAATAAAGGCTTCAGTGAGAATAGATGTAAGTCTAGAGCATGGGTTATCAGAGCTGGCAAAAATTCAGCCATCATGGACTCTACCCCGGGTCACAGATGGGGAGAGTGAGGCCCAGGAAGGGAAGGGTTTGGCCTGAGATTACAGCTGGCAGAGGAGTTCATCCTTGGGATCTGTGCCCACTGACTTTAGACCACGGCCTTTGGACCACACTGCCATTCTACTCACCTCTCCTTCTCACTCCGTGGTTACTTCCTTATGGGAAAGTCCTCAAAGTAGGAAGTTGGGGGCAAAGGGCAACTAAGATTATTTCATGGACCTTTGTAACGAGCTGTCAGGTTGTCCTGCAACATTAAACCCACCAGAGAATCCCTATAGCTTGGTCAGCATAGAGGTTTATCCTTGTATGTTTATTTTTGCTCATGTGATAGGAATAAACACAGACTGCTTTCATTCACTATTTGGTATGTGTTTCCAAACACACACACACACACACACACACACACACACGTCTTGGAAGCAGGACCCTTGGCTTCGGTGCCGGCTTGCTTGGTGACCTCAGATAACTCACATCCCCTTTGGACACAATGATGCCTATCTCTAAAGGAAGGGCTTGGGTGAGATGATTCGTTCAGGTCCCGTTCGTAATTTCACGGTGCATTTTAAAATTGTTTAGGATGACTTTTTAACCACCAGAGCCGGCCGGGACGAGCTGAGCAGGAAAGGGGGCAGAGAGGACAGGAGACCTAGGAAGCACTTAAGCCTGTATCTCAGAACCACGCCCGAATCACAGCACATAGCTTAGTCTGCTTTTATGAGGCTAATGACACTCATTTGTGGTCTGTGCCGTCCTGCCATAGCCAGAAGGCAAGGCCACGGCCACTTCAGCCCTCAGAGTCACAGACGGAGGTCAGAGGTAGCTCACCCTGAGCAGGTGCGCCTCCAGCCTCTGCCCACCTACCTCTGATGACACAGAGCTCACTACCTGCCCAGGCGGCCCCTACTTCCTTTCTGCTGTAAGAAAGAATCTGGGGGAGAGGGGTGGACAAGAGAGACCAGAAGGCCAAGACCTGATGATCATAAACCACTGCCTCGATCAGGTCAGGCCAACAGGAGACGGGGAAGAGGACAGACCGGGAGAAGGGCTTCTCTGGCTCCTCCTCTCACTCCAGACCTGAAGGCAGCTGCCAGACCCGTGTGCACGCACAGGAGGTGCAGGGACACTTGCCCTGAGGCTCTGGACAAACCCCAGGCTGACAACTGCCCGCCAGGGGGCAGACACCTCAGGTCCCTGGTCCTGCCTCTGCTCCCTTTGGCTCTGGCTAGAGAAATAGTGCTGGGCCTGGGGCAGTTCAGCTTGCAGGTGAGATTTAGGGGACAGATGATCTGCTCCAGGGTGGGGAAGAAGAGGGTCTACGTGCCCAGAGCAGGAGCAGCCGATTACAGTTGTTTACAGCTAGTGAGATCCACACCAGGACGGTGTGCAGTGGGCAGCAAGACCTTCCAGAGGTAGTCTCCCGGCGGTCTTTACTCAGAGTATCCAGCCAGTTCTCCAGACATGTGCTCTGCCCCAGCCCCAGCCCCGGCCCCAGCCCCAGCCCTGGCCCCAGCTCCAGCGCCACCCACCCACCCACAGCTCTCAGCACTGCTGGCCTCTGAGGTCCGCGCCTGGATGGGAGGCGCTCCTATCACACCGGCCGGGACACAGAGCTGAGCACACTGAAGGGACTGCCCGCACCATTCCTCAAGCAAGCTGCGTGTGTGGGCCTGGTCCAGGCAAGTCTGCAACCAGGGACCCCACCACCTTCAACCCAGGGACCCCCTAGACCCAGACCGCGAAGCCGACTTGGCGGCAGACTCTGACCGCCCCACCTTGCACACCCAGGCCAGCTCGATGGGGACCTGGGGCTGTCCCCTCATCCTGTTTTTTCTTTTTTTGTAACAAGAGCATAAGTCCCAACGCGGGTCCCGCGAGGCATGCAGGCCTCCAGGGGGCCTGTCGGGGCGGCTGGCCACACCCAGGGTGACGGCCCGCACCGCGAGCGGGCGAGGTGAGTGTGGACAGTGCTCACCGGGTCCTGGCCGTCCGAAGCCTGGACCCCCCACTCCTGTGCCCCCTATCCCGAGCGGGAAACTGAGGCCTGGGGAGGAGCCGTGCTTTGTGCAAGGTCACGCGGAGGAGCTGGGAGCCAGGCTCCCCGCGCCCCGCCGGTCCCCGCGGCGCGCCCAGCCCGCATCCCTCCCGGCGCCGCGGCAGGAGGCGCAGCTCGCACGGCCGCGGACGGGAAGCACGGCCGGCGGCGGGGCCGCCCTACCTTGATGCCGGCCGCGCAGGTGGCGGTGGCGTCCGGATCCGGTTCCGAGCTCCTCGCCGCCCGCCGAGTCCCCGCGCCCAGAGCCACCGCCTCCTCCTCCCCCACAGCCCGGCGGGCGGGGCCGGTGGGCGGGGCAGGAGGCTGGCACAGCCCCGCCCGCGCCCCGCGGGGCCACCCCTCCTCCTCCGCTCCCCACTCGCGCTCCGGCCCCCCGGGGCTGGCCTCGGGGCGCGCGCGCGCGCACACACACACACACACACACACACACACACACACACACGCTCACACACACACACGCGCGCGCGCACCGGCGCTCACTCGGCGCAGTGATTGGGGCGGGCTCTCCGGCCACTCGCCCGGCTTGGCGTCCCGCTGGTCCCTCGCTGCGTGGGACGGGACAAGGGACTCGACCTCCCGGAGCCTCCGTTTCCCCCTCGGTGAGATGGAAACAGTCATTGTGTCTGTCTCAAGGAGCCGCTGAGAATTAGGTGAGACGACGAAGCGCGCGCGCAAAGCCCGCCGCGGAGAAGCGCTGGGTGAACCCGCCCCGGAGCAGGAGGACTGGGAGCGCGCGGGAGTGTCGGAAGGATTCCCTCCCTTCTCCCGGCAGCCAGGAGGGGGCGCTGCTGCGCAGGCTCGGGATGCGGAGGCAATCTAGAGATGGGGAGCGCCCCCGACCCCCACACCCCCGCCTTTGAATACTACCACCTAACACTGTGCTTAGCACCTTAAATGCATTAATTACCTCACAAGCGTGTGAGGTTACACCGTTACTCAGTTTACACATAAGGAAGCCGAGGCCCAGGGAGGTTGCCTCGCTTAAGAACACACAGCTAATTATCCAACAGTAGGCAGGATGGCTCCCAAGACCAAGCTGATAGCCGCTCCACCTCTCTTGAGAAAAGCTCTTTGTTTTGCTCAGTGTAGTATCTCCGGGGCCCAGAACAGTGCCTGCCACAGAGTAGGCCCTCAGCGGTGGTGGAGCGATTAAAAGTGCACACCGTGTCCTCACTTTTATTTCATTTAATCCTGATAACTCCTTTATCTGGCCACTATGATTACCCCCGCTTTACAGATAAGAAAAGCGAGGCTTAGAGTCGCTAAGTATTTGGGGGTCTCTTGGTTATCTCCTTAGGAAGAAAAGCCAGGGCCAAAGCCCGTGAGTCAGTGTTCACTGGGCCACTCACTCCTCCGTGCCTTTGCTCATACCCTCTCTTCCGCTAGGAATTCGTACTGCGGCAGCTCCCACTGTCTAATGATTAGACTCTAATCCATCCTTCCTTCCAGGTCTGCACCAACATGCTTCCCCAGGAAGTGATCCAGCTCCTCTGCGGATGCTCTCCCTCACCTCCCCCCCCCCCCCCCAGCCTGTGTCTGCACCATCCCACACTGTGCCACGAAGGTAGGTGGCTGAGGCTGCTTGGGAAAAGGCTGGTTTGACAGGGACCTGTGGGGGCCGTGGGCATACGGACTGAAGTGCAGAGGGGAGGTCAGTGGAGGCCTCTGCAATAGACATGCCCGGGACCCTTGGAGGTGGTGTGTCTGTGGGAGGTGCTGCCCTGGTCCATTTACGGAAGGCCACTCCCTGGCATCCTCTGCATTGCACACATGGGGGAACAGAGTGGAACCCTGGCTGGAAAACCACATTGTAGGTCTGGCTCCAAAGCTGGGCCTATCTGCCAGTACTTCCTGCTGGGCTGTACTACTGATGGTGACGGGCCAGGAAAACACCTTCCTTCCCTAGGTGTCAGCATGGCCTGCTTTGTTTAACCTGCCATGAAAGGGACCGTGTTTGCGTGTGTGTGTGTGTGTGTGTGTGTGTGTGAGAGAGAGAGAGAGAGAGAGAGAGAGAGAGAGAGAGAGGGAGAGAGAGAGGGAGAGAGAGAGGGAGAGAGAGAGGGAGGGTGGGAGGGACTTGTCCTCTGTCTACCTGCCCAATGGGGACTTTCTGTGCCATATGGTCCTTTGCTGTGGGAGGCTGAGCTGAGAGAGGGGCAGCAGCTCCTGGGAGGTGAGGATCTGAGTGTGGGGGATGGGGGGCTTCCCAAAGTGCGCTCCAGGCCCTTCCTCTTTTGAGCACTCCCCTTATTCTTAGGGATTTGGGCCCAGTGGGGGGTGAGAGGGAAGGGCGGGTAACTCCTTCCTCCTCCCTGCTCCCTGTGGAACTGGCTGTGGACTTCAGCTTGCTGGGGTCTAGTATTAGTCTGGAGGGGGGTGCTTTGAGCAAGAGGTCCCATCCCCTGGGGTGGGAAGGTGGGGGCTGTGAGGAATCAGATCCCCCAGCCCTGGGAGGCAGCGGCCCCTGGGGATGGGGGCGACAGCTGTGGTGCAGGGCCAGGAACCTGATACCGGGGGTGGGCCCCAAACGCCCTCCAGGAGCAGGAGGGCGGGGCAGTCTCTCTAGGAGCAGCAGCAGCCCCAGACCTTAGGAGTGTCTGTCCCTGCCACAGCCTGCTGGTCAGGCGGACGGCTTTTCCTTCCATTTTTCTCTGCCTGGGGCTCTCCCCACAGGTCCTACCCCACTCCGGAGGCCGCCAAGAGCCAGGCTGCCTTTTCCCTTGGGTCCGTGGGGGAGGGGAGCTGGGAGGAACCCTCCCTGGTTCTGCCTTTGGGCCTCTAGGCTTGAGCCTGGCTTAAACTCTTAGCGGTGTGGCTTTGGGCACGTTAACCGCTGAGCCCGTCTCCTCGTCTGTAAGTGGAACCTGGCCCGTGGTGGGCTGGTGCTCTACGCCAGGCAGTTCCCGTCCCGGCTCTGGCTCCCCCTTCAGGGTTGGAGGCCCCACTGGTCAGTCCTCACTGCCCTGTGGTCCCTGAGCTCTCGGTGTGTCATAATGCCCGTGCCCACAATAGGCTCTGAGCGGGCCAAGCTCCAGTGTTTTTGAAAAGCTGCTCAGAGGGTGCTATAGGGACCAGGGACCAGGCCAGGCTACACAATGGGCAGAGCCTCTCGGGGCAGGAATAAGAAATGGGGGTGGGGGGTGGGGGGAGAGGGCAGAGAAGGTGGAGGAGAGAAGAAAAGTGGAGAGAAGGAAAATGAGGAAGGGAAGGGAAGAGGAAGGGGGAGCATGGGTGAGTTGAGGGAAGATGAAGGGAGGAAGGGGAGTGGGTAAAGAGGAAAGACAGGAGGAGGGCCCTCTATCTGGCAGCTCCTGTCTGCTCTGGGGAGTTTACCTTTTGCTGAGGAGGGAATCTGACTTTCAGGGCTGCAGTCTCTCCTGGAGCTGGGCCTCCGCAGGCCTGAGCCCCCGCGAGTGAGGGTTTCCTCAGGAAAGGCCATGGCACCGGCTCAGCACCAGCATCTCCCCAGTGACAGCCCTTGGGTTACAGCACCCAGCTTGCTGGGGGGACAGCCAGGACCACCCAGTCCAACCTCACACCACCATCACACCTCACAGATCTGTCCAGTGATGAAAGCGCCTCAGCATATGAAAAGGAGAGTAAAAAACGAGAAAGGCCCTTTGTGGGGATCCGCAGGAGGCCCTGTGAATGTGGTAGGAAAGAGCCCTGAGCACCCTCCCCAGGGTTGTGTGGGGCACAGCGATGGCTCTGGACAGGAGCCTCAGATCGGAGCTGCAGGAACAGTCACGGGTTTTGCAGTCACTGTGGCCTGGACGCCCTGCCTCAAGGGGACGGGGAGCCTCTGACTGAGGAGGGGCTGGAAGAGCCAAGAACTGGAGCTGAGTCCCGACCTGGGGCAGCTGCCCTCGCTCTCTCACCCTCCAACCACCCATCCTTCCGAGAAGAGGTGGCTCTTCTTGCCTGGCCTAAGAAGTTGGTGGTGGGAGATCAGGCCAGACAGCTGAGCCAGGGCTCTCTGCCCAGCACCACACCCAGTTCCTCTTGGGACCGCGCCCCCTCCCCGCCCCCCCATGGGCTGTGAGCGGAAAGGAAGGCCCGTGTGGTGGGCTCACCAGGAACAGGTGGTTACTGAGAATCCTAAGTTCCAAAGCTTATGAGCCATTTCTCGTATTTACATGGTTTATACAGAAGAACTTAGAGAATGTTCACAGTTCCCTATAAAGACAGCTCTCCTGTCTGCGTGCTAAAGTGCTCTGAGGAGGAAGTGAGAAAGGGGCAGCGCTGGGCACCCAGCCAGCACGCAGGTTCTGCTGGGAGGCGGAGCCCAGAAGCGGAAGGACTTGCCCAGCGTCACATGGGACGGGCTCGAGGCTGGACCACTGCTCCAAGGCTGAGCTGCGGGTCAGGAGTGGAGAGGGCTTTGGGGAGTGCAGGTGGCCTCGCCAGGCTCCCCGTCCCCCTCGTCATCACTGGCGCAACCCTCCGGCACCACCGGGTCCTGGGCTGCCCGGGTCTCCAAGTACTCGGCCTTGAGCTGCTCCAGCTCCCGCAGCTCGGCCTCCAGCCGCTCCCGGTGGACCGCTCGCAGCTGCTGCAGCTGTTTCATGGGAAAGGGGTTCATGTCGTTGAAGGCGATGCTCATCAGCTTCCTGGGGGGAGAGCACAGTCAGCCCAGAGCAGTGTCCCAGGGCACTCACAGCACCTCCCCAGGCAGGCCTGCACCCACTCTGCCCTCGTGGCTAGGCCCCTGGCCCCTACGCTTGGGGTGCTCACATTCCAGGGAGGAAATGGTAAAGAAGAAGACAGTTTAGACTCAAAGTCCTATGTACTGAGGCAGGAGGAAGCTTGGGGCTATGGGAACTCTAACCCTCTGAGGAAAGGCTGGTCAGGGAAGGCTTCCTGGAGGCGGTGACACAGGAGCGGGTGTGATGGTGGGACTGGTGGGGAGAGCAGGGGTGGGTTCTCACCGGCTGTTGCAAATGGTCTTGGTGAAGAAGCGCAGGTACTGGTAGATCTCCAGGTTGTCCTGTAGCCTCAGGATCTCCTCCTCGGTGTACTTGAAAATGGCCAGGGCATAGCGGAACACCACCTGGGGCCAGGTGAGGGCTCAGGTAGGGCATGGGGGGCCAGGGCAGGTTATCCCCAGAGGGAGGAGAACCCACACACCACGGTGGGAGTCTTTGGACACGCTTGGAGGCGACTGTGTGCAGGGAGGCCACGAGGGAGGGGAGCTTGGACTCTGGGGACTGGGGCTGAGCCTGGCTCTCCCCCGATGGGGTAACGCTGTCTTTCATGGGGCACTAGCAGGAGCTGGTGAAACAGCAAGTCCCAGGGCTCTGGGAACTGTGAGGTGCATATGTCATCAGCCACCGTGTGGAATGGGCGGACGGTGGGGGAGGGCCTGCCCAGGGTCTCCCAGCAAGGTGGAGCAGAGCTGGGACCAGATTCAGTGCCAACCTCCCAGCCCAGGGCTGGGTCCATGGGAGCGAGAGGAGAAGGGGCGCGGTGACTGGAGTGGCCACGGATGGAATAGGGATGTGCCTCCTGGGTCCAGCTCATGCTTCCTCTCCGGGAAAGGAACCTCCCAGCTTTAGGAAGCTTGGGAAGCAGAACCGCTTCCTCTCATGAGTGCGAAGCACGTGATTTACAGAGCCAGGCTCCCAGCAGATGTCCCCAGCAGCCCCGAGGGGGCCACTGTCCGCCCGTTTTCGGGGCAGAATGGAGACCCAGGGGAGTGGGTCCTGCCCAGGGCCCCGTGCTCACCCCCGCAGCACCCTACCTTGGTGCCTTCGTACAGGAAGGCGTCCCAGACCTGGAGGAGGATGTTGCTGATGAGACTGTCGGCAAAGACCACGAGGAACCAGTTGAAGGTGACGAAGGAGAGGTCCACGCGGAGCTGCCCCAGGTGGGCCATCAGCCTGGGCAGCTTCTCCGAGAGGAGGTCCTGGAGCACCCGCTGGTCCACCTGGCAGCCGGCGAGGGGACCCATCAGCTGCTGCCCCAGGAAGGGGCTGCCCCCTTTCCCTCCAGCCCCCAACACCCGGTCACACAGTCCTGGAGCCTCAGCGTGGGCCCCGCCTGCCCCCAGGGTGAGGGGGGGCGGAGGGGCTCAGGGCAGCCTGGCTGGGAGAAGGCACAGCAGCACTTCACTCGCTGCTCCCAGGCTGGAGTGCAGGCTTTGCACGGAGGTCTCTGTGGGATGGTAAGGTCACGAACAGTGGAGTTCTGGCCCCTTTGTCCTCCGAACCTCAAGCCAAGCAGCTCAGCCTGTACCAGCTGACGCCACAGCTGCTTCTCTGCACCCATTTGGGCCTGATGCACAGGATGCTGGGGCATGTTTGCGGGAGTCACACCGTCCTGCTGCCCTGGACACCAATGGCTGCCAGTGGCCTCCATCCTTGTTTTACGTGACTCTGCCGATTACTCCCAGCACCGGCTCCTTCCCAGGCTCTACGACATGGTTCTTTCCTGGTTGACCTCCCACCACCAAGACAGGCCCGTTAAGCCTCCTGCTGTTCTTGTTTTCCTGTAACCCTGGTTCTCACCCTCCCCTTCCACGTAAATCCTCTTCCAGGTGTTAGCTGTTGGCCGTGGCTACACACCTCCCCTTCCGTCCTCTCCTAGACCCCAGGTCCACTGTGAGGGCCTAGTCTAGTGTCCAGCTCAAAACCTAGGGTAATTCGCTCAATCTAAGATGCCACTGAGCCTTCTGAAATATGAACTGATATGATGTCTGGGATTTCCTTCAAGGCAATCAAAGGAGGAGTGGGTGGGAGTCTAGGTGAAACAGCACTGGCCTATGGAAAAGGGAGCCAGCTCCTGTCTTCTACCCTCCCCGCTTACAGCCTGGGCCACGGCCACCCTGGGACCACATGATGAGCGGGGGGATGGCAGAGCAGAGGGCTTGGAGGAGCCTTCGGCTTTTGCTGACCTGAGAAGAATCCCCCCTGTAAGCCGCTGTGAGCTGGGCTTTCCTATCTCGCAGCCAAACATCCTCACCTGATTCACCGCCTACGTCTTGATCTCCAGCCCTGACCATTCTACTCCACACCTGAGTACCCATCGCGCCTGAGCGTCCTGCACCAGGTGGATGTTCCAGAGGAGGAATCGGAGTTGGGGGATGGATCGTAGGAGGAAAACAGAACAGGATGGGCGGGCAGGTAATGGCTTGGCAGGTTTGGGGCTGAGAGTGAGAAAGTTTCCTCTAGGTGGCCTCTCTCCATACAACAGATGGTGCTGATGCAGCAAGAACAGGGCAGGGGTGAGGTGGGTGAGGCGGGAGAAAGGGGAGGCTTGAAATGGTTTTTCATTTACAGACCCAGGCAGTAGTGCTTCTCCCATTCAAAACTGGACAAGCCCGGGGTCAGAGAGGCGATCTCACTTGCCAAGGCCACACAGCTGAACACCGGAGAGCGTGGCTCTCAGCTCACTGGACTCCAGGCCTGGCCTGTGCTGCGGGCAGCTCAGGCGAGATGGTGGAGGCAGCTGTGCGGTGGGAAAGGACGAGTGTGTGTGTGTGTGTGAAGAATCACCACCACCTCCATCCTCCCAGCCCATCTTTCACCTTCCTGACCTCTATTTTGAAAATTTCTACTGGCAAATAGCAAGTGACACTCAATTTTCTTCTCTGCTCCCCAGAAAACCAACCGTTTCTAATGTCACCACTGGAATAACAACTGTCTATCCTGTGGGCAGGGACCCCACAATTCTGAAGGCCATCAGCTCACCAGCGCTTCCTAGCAGCCCCAGTGAGGGCCTACTGGCCCACTGTACAGAGGGATAAATAGAGACCCGAGATATTCTGACTTTTCCGAGACTCACCTGCGTAACTCCTGAGGCCCCTCCCTGCCTTGCTTACCTGGGACGCTGTCAGCGTCTTGCTGTAGTAATCAGCTGGCATGATGGTCTCCACGATGGCCACCAGGCACCAGAAGGCACTCTCCTCTTCACCCAGCACCAGCAGAGCGACGGCTGCCAGCCTGTGTGGAGAGAAGGAGGCCAGGAGTGACAGAGGTGGCTCCCTGGCTCCCGGGAGGAAGTCCTGTCCCACCCTACTCCCTAGCCAGGCTGCCGTTTTTTTGGCACCTGGGGTGAGACAAACATGCTTTTGGGAAGTACTACATCATCAGGGATCTCCAGAGCAAGGAGGATCAGCTTAGAGCAGGGGCTTTAAAGTGAATCCTGGTCTTGCCACTTCCTTGCTGGGTGACCCTAGGCAAGTTACTTAACTTCTCTGAGCCTCAGCAGCCTCCTAATAATCACAGGACTGTTAGGAGGATACACACAATTAACACATGTTAAATGCCCAGCACAGTGCCTGATATGTGGTGAGTGCTTTCTTTATAAGTGTTAACTATTCTTTTTTTTTTCTTTTTTTCTTTTTTTTTTTTTTTAAACAACACACATATTTTTATAGATTTCAGAGAGAAAGGGAGAGGGAGAGAGAAAAACATCAATGACGAGAGAATCGTTGATTGGCTGCCTCCTGCATGCCCACACTGGGGATCTGGGCCCTGACCGGGAATTGAACCGTGACCAATTTGAACCAAGGTTCAAAGGTAGACACTCAACCACTGAGCCATGCCAGCTGGGCTAGCTATCTTCATCTTAGTACCCACAGGCTTTGAGACCTTTGCAAGTGTGCAAACCTCTCTGAGCCTTCCACCTGTGCAATGGGATTAGTACTTCCTGCCTCCCAGGGCCGAGGCATCTGGAGTGAGAAGATAGCCCTGACTCAGCATCCCTGCGTGGCTCGCTGGCGTGTAGCAGGTGCTTAATACCTGGAGGTCATTTTCTCCTTTGCTTCCCCTCCCTGCTAAAGTTATCACGGGGCTCTAATGGGATCCTGGGTAATGAAAAACCACAGTGCTGAGCAGGGAAATCTGCCTGGAAAAAGTACTGCTTTCTCTACTTCTCCCATCTTTCCTGATGGGTCTTCCAGGGCCAGTTCAGAATACATTTTCCAAAATGTCCCTGTGTGTCAGGATGCTAGGTCAATACAAGGTCACATGTTCAAAGATGCTTAGGGCCTGCTGCACACTCTAGCTCAGTGGTCGGCAAATTGCAGCTCGTGAGCCACAGGCACTTTGGCCCCTTGAGTGTGGCTCTTCCACAAAATACCACGGCCTGGGCGTGCACTACAGTGCAATTGAAACTTCATGGCCCATGCGCAGATGTCGGTTTTCGGCTCTCAAAAGAAATTTTAATTGTTGTACTGTTGATAGTTGGCTCTGTTGACTAATGAGATTGCCGACCACTGCTCTAGCTCCCTTCTAGAGACCTCTGAAATCCTGCAGTGAAGACACCTCATGTGACCTGTGGGCAGTGGCCCCTTTTGACAGCGTACCCCATGAGCACCCTTGGCTGTGTTGGCAGGCTCACACTCCAGATGGGCACACAGAGCACATTTCAGTGTCCAGATGTTTATGTTTCTCTGGGCTTTTACTGGATTACCTCCAACCTCTTCTCAGGTTCATACTTCTTAAAGAAATGGGGTCAATTCTCATAAGAAAAAAAAAAATCCTTTTATCCCTCCCATAGACTCAGGACTCTCTCTCTATTCTGGCTAAAATATTTGTGCAAACCCTCATTAGTCTGAGCTGAGTGGATGAACAGTCACAGGTCTCCTGGGAAATAGAGAGCCCTGCCCTCTCCGAGTTGGGGAAGGGTGGTGGTGGGTTCAGAGGTCATTTAGTTCAGGGATAGCAAGTGTACGATATCCTGGCCACCACTCTCTTTGACTATGCCCAGGGCAGACATAACCACTGGTCACGCCACCCTTCCCACTGAGTGTGGAGGCTGCCTCAGAACTCTCACAAGACAAGGCTGCAGGCAGCTACATCCTACCAGTCAATACACATTCATTGCCGACACCGTAAGACTGAGGCCTGAAAGCAAAAGTGACCTGCTTAGGGTCACACAGTCAGCTGGAAGCAGAGTAGGAAGAGAACCCAGGGCTCCCCAAGTCCCTGCCGGTGTTCTCTCCACCTCACCCCATTCATTAAAGCCCGGATGTGCTGAGTGCTGGAACTGGCTGCCAGCATCGGCTTAGATTGCTGCACCTTAAAAGCTACTGCTACCAGCTAGGGCCTGTGAACTGCTCAGGGCCTCAGCCATTCTCCAACCTAAGGCATTTATTAGTAGAGCCCAGGGCGTCTGCAAAGAAGGTAGTATGGTTATGGAGGGGGAGAGACACAATTTTTAGCACTCTGATTATATTTTAAAGGGAAATGGCCTTAAAATATTTGCTCTAAATTACCACTAAACCATATCTATCACCCTCTAAACAGGCAGGATTTATTGCATATATTTATAAATCAGTGTCTGTCTGCCACAGGATACATACAGTTCCAACAGTGGACACTAGATGGCGGCACTCAACAAGTGAAAGGGTTTACTAGTGAGAGCCTTTGAAATAAGCACCACCCTCTACATGAAAACAGGTTCTACTACAAATAACTTTCTATTTAAAGCAGTCACATGGATATTTTTCTAAACACCAATGATCATTTTTTTAAAAAGCATTCGAGAAAGAAGTAAAGAAAAACAGGTTCTACTACTAATAACTTTCTATTTAAAGCAGTCACATGGATATTTTTCTAAACACCAATGATTATTTTTTTGAAAAGCATTCGAGAAAGAAGTAAAGAAATACTCAGTTGCTCCTGTGTACCCCTCTCCACACAGGGAGAAGCGTCTTTCCTTGTGACTTACCTCTATACCCCCTCCTGCTATAAAAGTTTGCCTGCCTCTTCAAGCACCGATGAGCTGTTCTGGGTTTAAATTCAGAATTCCCAGTAATTGTACATGTATATGCTCAATTTTACTCAATTTAGACTGGAAATAAAGTGTCAGAAATATCTACCCTTGGGAACCATTTGCATGTGAGTAGGGGCAGTCTGAATGTTTAATCTGTGTTGAGTAAATGTCATACACCACTATCAGAAAAAAGATCAGAATGGCTTATGTAAATTTTGCTTGTGTATGTATGTTTCAAGTGAGTCAAAACTTGCTTTGGGAAATATCTGAGATGACTGGGGGCATCCGTGAAAGTACCCACAGTACCGAGTGGGCAGCCCTACCAACGCACCCACCTCTACTCCCGTTCTTCTGCTTATTGGTATAAGGAGCAATGAATCCAGGCTGGGCCCGTCAGATTCCTTCCTTTGGGAATTTAGATCTGACACAGGAGGGCATGGACAGAAGGGAAGACCCTTTGAAAGGCTCTAGGCTCAGGGCCTGAGGTCTCCATTCTGACATCCTCCACGGAATGATGGGACTACGGAGAGAGAAGGAAGCAGAAACGTGGAACCAGAAGCCACAGACCAGCAGCCCCACGGGGGGCTGACAGCAGTAGTCTCTCAGCAGCACGATCGCAGGGACCTGGTCCCCATGGAATGCGGAGGGAAGATGCCCCCTGGGATTGTGCAGTTGCCTAGGCTTCCAATGACCATGTGGTCTGTAGCTCTGTTTTCATTTCCTGGCTTGTGTGAGGTTCTCCTGTAACATTTACAAATTCTCTTTTCCTGTGGCTCTGCTGAGTGGGTTTAGTTTGAAGGAAATGATCCCTGACCCAGCCAGTCCCACAAGCTGTGAGCTGGGTTGTGCTCGACACAACACCAGGGGACCGTTCATGCTTTCCCTGGGGGTGGCACTCCCTGAGCACAAACCGAGGCAGAGAACATGGCATGAGGGGCCCTGAGCTCTGGCCCTCTGTCCTGAACGTGTCCTTTCACTGCTTGTCCCCATCGGTACAGTGGGGATCATGGCAAGCCTCCTGGGCTCACCTCTCCAAAGAGACAGGGGGCTGCTCGGAAGGACAAAGGCTGTTGTGTCCTCACGGGGGCCTTGGTGCTCACCTGTTCAGGCCCTGGCAGTAGCCGATGGAGGGGTTCTGCCAGGAGAAGGCCAACAGCACCCGGCGGAGCTTGTCGGGGAAGCTGGAGGTGGGACAGGTGAAGTGCTTGTTGTTGGTGAAGGTGCGGTTCAGGTCCAGCTCGATCTGGCGGGCAGCAGGGTGCTTGCAGGTCTGGCCCCGGCTCAGCAGCTCCTGGTAGCGGCCAGGGGCCTGCAGGTGCTGGACGCGGCGGTGGATCAACCACCTCCAGACTCGAGGCCGGTGCTCTTGGGACACGCCCATCCGCAGCAGCTGCTTGAGCTCCACGGAGGGTGCAAGCTCACCCAGGGCAGCCCAGCGCTCTCGCAGGGGTCGCTCTGTAGCCTCGTGGGCCAGCAGGTGGTGGGAGCGCACCTCCAGCACCTGGATCTTGGCCAGCAGCTTCAGGTCTTCCACCTCATAGTTGGGCACTGTCTGGAAGCCATACTCATCATACTCGCTGCCAGGAAAAGCCCATGTTAGCAACACCTTGCAGATCCCTTCCCCAGATAAGGGGCAATGGGGGAGGGGTATGCCTTAAGCAAGGCTCCTGAGTTTCACTTCCGGTTAGTCATGCAGCTCTGACAGGTCACTCGGTTCTCTGTACAATGGGCAGAGAAAGGCCTCATAAAGACCCACGGAGGTCCTGTGTTACTCACTGCTGGGGGCCTACACTGTGCCTGGCACAGAGCAAGTGCTTGAAGAGACCTTTACTCCGTGCAAATATAAAGGATCCTCTTATTACTTCATGTTGCCTTCGGCCCAAGGAGTCTTGCAATATCGAACCCCACTTCCACAGCCAGTAAGCCCCAAATGGATGGGGCACAGACAGCATCAACGCTAACCAGAGGTGGGAGGGCTGGGGATCCATTCCAGATGGCTGTTCACTTATTCACCATTTGCCCCTGTGTGGGCTCTGCACATGCTGTTTCATTGAACTCTAGGACTCCTGCAACCAGAGTTGCACACACATCTGTGGAGGCTACACATGAGGCTCTGAGCGATGAAGTGACTTGTCTAAGGTCACTCAATGAGAGACCCACGTGCGGCTCCAAGACGGGGGCTCCCAGCCACAGTGCCGTCTGTTACATTTAACTGGCCTTGTCCACTGCGCTCAGGGGAGACAGCTGGCTTATCCCTTCTCCTCCCCTCTCTGACAAACCTCTGGGAGCATCCTGGGAAAAGTGGAAAAAAAATCATGGAGCTCTGGAGGCAGACCCAGCTCCGCTGCATTAATGTGCTGTGTGGCCTTGGGCGAGGGGCTGCCCTCTCTGAGCCTGCACTGCCTCAGCTGTAAAACAGGGCCCATCTCAACCACATGCTCATTTATCTGAAGATAAGAGGAGGTAAGAATTGTGCAGGGTCACACACAGTCAGCAGGGCAGCTGGGACCCCCAGGCCACTCCAGTGGGCCCTGGCCTGGCCACCACGGGGCTCACCTGATGGGGCTCAGCTCAACACTGTCAGCAGAGGCCTCGCTGGCTTCCCACTGCAGCGCCTCCTGGATGAGTTGCCTGAGCAGCTCCGCGCTCTCGCCGCCCTGATTCCCCATGGTCTCCTGCAGCCTCCGCAGCCCTGCCAGGTACTTGCTCTCCACCTGGTAGTTCTTGGCTTGGAGGTAGGCACACTGTGGGGGTGGGGAGGAGGTGGGGGCTGGTCAGGCCACTTGGTTGGGCTTGGCTTACCCCAAAGGCCTGAGGCCCGAAGAGCTTTAGGCAGCACACCCTTCTCCCAGCTCTCATCCCCCCCCCCCTCCCCGCCCCTTCCAGCCTTTCACATAGGGAAGGAGATGGGCTCTGTATCCAAGGGTTTACAAGGCAGGAAGGGCTCCAGGAAAGAGAACCAGATTCAGCAGGAGGGGAAGGGTGGGGAGAGACAGCAGAGGCTCTTGTATAGCCTGCGGTCCTATTCCAGTTCCGCTACTGCTGGCTGGGTGGCCTATGGCAAGCTAACTTTTCTGTGCCTTCGCTTCCTCTGAGCAATGGGGATGACAGATCTGCCTCAGGATTGCGGCAAGGCTTCACGGGCACCTGGCCTAGAGCAGGCTGCCTGCACTGCGCTATAGGTGCATCACTGAGCAGTGCCCGGGGGCAGACAGGGACCTCTGGACACTGCTCTTGTGCCTCTGCTGCCACCACATGGGCTCTTTCTGCCCCCAACACACCACCTCTCTCCCACCTCACGGGACACACACTGCCTTTCCCGCTGTACCTTTGCAATCAGAAATGGTAATCAGAGTACAGTTTGAGAGCAGACAGGTAATGAGGAGGGAAGGGAGAGTAGACAGGTAACGAGGAGGAAGGAGAGTAGACAGGTAACAAGGAGGGAGGAGAATAGACAGGCAACGAGGAGGGAGGAGAATAGGCAGGCAATGAGGAGGGAGGAGAGTAGACAGGTATGAGAAGGGAGGAGAGTAGACAGGTAATGAGGAGGGAGGAGAGTAGACAGGTAATGAGAAGGGAGGAGAGTAGACAGGTAACGAGGAGGGAGGAGAGTAGACAGGTAACAAGGAGGGAGGAGAGTAGACAGGCAATGAGGAGGGAGGAGAGTAGACAGGTAATGAGAAGGGAGGAGAGTAGACAGGTAACGAGGAGGGAGGAGAGTAGACAGGTAATGAGAAGGGAGGAGAGTAGACAGGTAACGAGGAGGGAGGAGAGTAGACAGGTAATGAGAAGGGAGGAGAGTAGACAGGTAACGAGGAGGGAGGAGAGTAGACAGGTAATATGAGGGAGGGAGACATGTGAGATGGTGGAGACTGAAAGGGTGGCAGGAAGAGAGAGGGCCAGAAGAGGGGTCCTCACCTTCATCAGGAGGGTCCTCTCCTTTTCAGCCACCTTTCTCCAGATCTTTGTCACCTGGTGGATCTCGGAATTGAGGAAGCGGTTCTGGGTCTGGTACGCTTCCATGTCATCCTGAAGAAGAGGGCAAAGCAGCTGAGGACTTGCACTGACAACATCTCCCTGAATCTCACCCTCAAATGAGCCGCCGACACTTCCTTTCTTTAGAAATTTCCAATAATGCAATAGAAAAGGAAATCTGAAATAAAACAAAATAACTTATAGTCCCCTTCTCTAATCTTGAGCCTAGAATTAAGTGGCAAAGGGAGCCCTAAACCTGGAGTTCAAGTCCTGGCTCCGACTTCCTGGCTGGGAGACCTTACTGACTGCCGTTTCCTCATCTGCAAAAGGAACACATGCCAACCACCTACTGGGCAGTGGGGAGACCATGAGGTCACATGTGTTATAACTCTAAGTACAGGGAGTGAAACACAACATTTTAACACAACAGTCCTTATCTGAACAGGACCGCAGGCCATACAAGAGCCTGTCTCTGCCCACCCCTCCCCTTCTACTGGATCCAGCCCCAGCCCTGGGCCAGTTCTCTTTCCTGGAGCTCTTCCTGCCATGCAGTAAACCTTGGATTTGGAGCCCACCTCCTTTCCCTATATGAAGGGCTGGAGGTGGAGAGGGGAGGGGAGATGAGAGCTGGGAGAAGGGTAATGTTTGTTACTAAGATAAGCCTATTTTGTCATATATTTGCAATTGTACTGAACAGTTTTGGGTGAAGAATTTTTTTACTTAGTGTCACTTTGTAAGTACTTTTCTATGTTGCTACAGAAACTTCCCAGTGATCATTTTTAATGTCAGATGCCTATTCTATTGGGTGAATTTACCATAACTTAGTTACCATCCTTCTCCTGTTGTTTTTGATTATGAACACGGTGGCGATGCACCTCTCTGAGCCAGGCTGTCCAGTGGGGAGAGCCAGACGCGGCTGCTGGGCATGTGAGGAGGAGCTGGCCAGCCACTGAGAGGTTCAAGTGGGAGCCTGAACCACAGGAAGGAGCAGCCACAGCCATGGCTCTCAGCCTTTATTCTGCTTGGACGGATGTTGCAGGAGCAATGGACAACACACTCTCACAGCACACCCAGCCATTCCAGGGCATTTACGAGCTGACACTCAGCCCTTCTCTCCCTCCCAGGAACAGGCACTGGCTGTAGGTGAGGGACAGACGGGGATGACATTGGATAGGTCCTGACTTATCTGGAAACTGGGAACATCACGCCAAGCCTGTGCCGTTTCCTTACCAGGAAAGGTAACTGTGTACAGCTTCTAGGCCATCCTGACCCCTCATGGGGGATCTTCATTCTGTCAAGAACCCTCCCAGCCCAGAAGCTCAACTTGTGTGCAGGGTCTTCCGCCTGCCTCCTAGTTACTCGGTGGGAGGGCCACCTGTCCCCAGGGCTCCTGAGCAGGAAATACATGCCCTGGGCTGACTTCATCCAGTGTCCTGGGTTGGGTTGAAGGGGTGTAAGCAGACTAGATCTTTAAGTCTTTCTACTCTGATGTTCAAGGTGATGATTCTACTCTCAAACAGCTTCAACAATAAGGGGGCATTTTCTTTTCTTTCTTTCTTTTTTTAAAATATATTTTACTGATTTTTTACAGAGAGTAAGGGAGAGGAAGAGAGTTATAACATAGACAAGAGAGAAAGAAACATCAATCAGCTGCCTCCTACACACCCCCTACTGGGGATGTGCCCACAACCAAGGTACATGCCTTTGACTGGAATCAAACCTGGGACCCTTCAGTCCGCAGGCCGATGCTCTATCCACTGAGCCAAACCAGTTAGGGCAAGGGGGCATTTTCTTAAAGTTGGCTGTTCTCAATCACAGGGCAAGCAGAAAAATGGCCAACAGCTACGAACTCTAGACATGCAACTCTTCCTAGCACAAGATGCTCGTCCTTTGAGGATCAGTTACAAATACAAGTTTGGTTGATGTGACTCATAACCAGAGGCTCCTCATGCCTGGGCTCGCTGATAAATTCCTGCACATGCAGATTCAGAGGCACGCCCAGTCTCCTAGGTGAGTCCTGGCTGCCAGTCAGCTCCCTGCGGCAGGCAGGAAGCCTCTAGCGAGTCCGTGGCTCTCATCTCCAGGCTGCTGGGTGGGTGTTCAGCAGTGGCTTCCAGCGGGACGGGCCAGCTGGGCAGGAGCGCAAGCTGCGGAAGCCATTTCACTGCTGTGTGGAGCTGCCTAACAACCTAGCTGCATCTGCACTTGAAAGGATTTTGTTTTCATTTTGAACTCAAAAACATCTCTGATTTTAAGGAAGACTCAGACAGGTCATGTGGCTGTTCATGCTGAAGGAGGGGAAAGGAACCTGGGTTTCTGTTGTCTCCCTTTATCCTCCTAACAACGGCACCTCCACACCACCCTGCCCCATCAAAAGCACCTGGATTGCCAAAACCGGTTTGGCTCAGTGGATAGAGCTTCGGCCTGCGGACTCAAGGGTCCCGGGTTTGATTCTGGTCAAGGGCATGTACCTTGGTTGCAGGCATATCCCCAGTAGGGGGTGTGCAAGAGGCAGCTGATCGATGACTCTCTCATCGATGTTTCTAACTCTCTCTCTCCCTTCCTCTCTATAAAAAATCAATAAAATATATTCAAAAAAAGAAAAGCACCTGGATTTCTTTCCCGCTCCCCACAATAGTGCTCTGATATAGCAGCACAGGAATTCCCCATTATACATATGCATACGTGTGTGGCAGGGTTTGGGGCAGGCCTGGCTGGTTATCTGGCTGCCTTCAGGGGCAGTGGGGCTGTGAGCACCTACTCCAAGCCTCAGGCCTCCAACTGTTTGGTAGCTCTTGTCACCACCCTCTAGGGAGGACATGGCAGCCCATGGCAGGTATATCACCTAAAATAAAGTTCCTGCCATCACTGTGAGCAGCCCACAGCCAGCCACAGGTCACCTGTTCTGTGTGCAGGATTGCTGGGGGAGGGCCGCCCTGGAACCATGGGGGCTCCCCAGGGCATCAGCGTGACACCCAAGGAATCCGACCAGGCCCCAGGTGTATAGCTGGTCTAGTCCTCAGGAGTTCTGACCCTTCATGGGCTCTTCCTAATTTGCTAAGCTAGACAAAACTTTCCTTTTCAGCCTAGGACACCATGAAAAGATCAAATTGCATTGGGCCTTCTGGTTAAGAAGGTCAGGAAGTATGTAGCAATATATCCACCATCTATTTCAAATATGGACATTCCAGTAGTAAGGGTTATTGCTGGGCCTAGAGGGCATGGCCCTACCTTCAGATGCTCCATCTTTTCCTGCTGGCTCAAGAAGTCCCTGTCGGCAGCGTCTGGGGCCACAAGGAGCGGGTTAGGGGGGCGCACGAAGTCCTGGGTGACCTTCTCAGACAGCTTGCAGATGACCTGCTGTTTGGCCTGGTTCTTGTCCATGAGCAGCTGCACGTGCTCCTGCAGCTCCTGCACCTGCTGCTCACGCAGGCTCGCCGTCTGCGCCAGGCTCTCCCGCTCCTGCTCCAGGGCCTCCACCCGCCTGCCCAGCTCCGCGATCTGCCGCACTTTGTGCCGCACCAGCTCCAGCCGGTCCTTGTCTTCGGCCGCTGCCAGGTACGCGCTGGTTGCCCTCTTCTCCTGCTGTGCGGCCTCCAGGGCTTTATGCAGGATCCTCACCAGCTCCTGGACAGGGAAACAAAGTGCCTGTGAACTCGGGGAAGGACTACTAGGCGCCAGAGGTGAGGCATGTGTTCTCACCAGTTCTCCTAACGGCCCCAAGGAGTGGCCAGCAGCATCCTCTTGGTCATCTCATCTCAATCCCCATTTTCTCTTTTTCCATTCAAGAGTTTTAACTTGACCCAAGGTTTCTCAGCTCAATACTATATTTCCCAGCTAAGCTTACAGCTAGGTGTGATCAAGTGACAATTCAACCTACACTGGATGTGGGAAGCTCTGGGTCATATATACCTTTGAAACCATTATACATATGCTCCCTGGTCCAGTTCCCCTTCCTTCTGGCTGGGAAAAGGCAAGAACTACAGCAGCCATGTGGGGCTCCCAGCAGAAGTTGCATGTTGAAGATGGCAGAGTTGCCCCACCAGCTCAGAACTGCTCATTTACCTCTGGGCTCTTCCATGAGAATGTGAGAGAGAAATAAACTTCCAAATTGATTTAGGCCATAGTACTTTGAGGCTTCTTTGTTATAGCAGCTGAGCCCATATCCTGAGTAATACCTATCTATTTCGGAGGTGACCACACTGAGGCCCAGCAGAGTAGAGTGGAATTTAATCCCAAATTATCAGACTCCAAGGCCTGTGCTTGGTCAGTAATGACAGCAAGGGTGCCGTGGCACATGGGCATTGCCCTTCCCTCCTCTCCCTCCTGTGGCAGGTGTCATTAACCTCAGTACTCCTTCCTCTAAGCCGAGTTGAGGCCTCAGAATCCTTCTGAATAGAGCACCCAAGCAGATGCTATGAGCTGAGACAGCAATAGAGAGGAAACACATTGACAATCCTCACGCTAAGCCATACGCAGAGAGCATCATTCAATCCATTTGTACCCAGCTCCCGAAGCCCACCAAGCAATGCCCACAGGCTGGAGCAAGGGAGTGCTAGAGAGCTACAGACTTTATTCCTTGACGAAGCATGCGATTCACATGGAAACTCCAGCTTGGCCTGGCTCCCAGTGACTGGAAGCCTTCACCCTCCCCAGGACCTCTCTTGTCCCAAAGCCCAGTGTGGATTCATTCAGGGCCAGGATCAGAAGCCAGGTAGCCTAGCCACCAGCACCACATGAACCTCGAACCTCATGAACCTTATATGGAGGGGCTTTAGGCCAATGCTGTGCTCCATGTCAGCATCATCTGGAAAAACACAGTGTCCTAGAGACACAACTGCATCGGATACTGTTGTAATTATTATAGCTAGCTATTAATAATAGGAAAGGAGCAAAGGGAAGGCGAGACACTATAAACATGGCCATCCGGGCAGTTCCACCAGGAAGCTGTGATTTCACACTCGCCAGGGAACCACCCGGCTCATTCCCTGAAAACCACTTGGGAGATGGATGCACAGGCAGTAAGGTCAAGGTGACCCAGGGAAGGAGGCTGTCAGTCTACCCTAGAACACACAGCACTTGCCAGAGGGAGTGGGGCTGCTGCAGACTCAAATTCTGAGATTAAAATCTCCAAAGGAACTCTCTCTCTTGTTGCTCTGGTTTTGCTCCTGTTTCCCTACATTTGCCCGTGTTCCTAGAAGCTGCATGGTCCTGGGCCATGTGGACCACATATGCAATGGACTGATGGACTGAAGCTGAAACACAAGTTAGGCTAGCCTGATGCTGGAGTGGATTGTGCAAATGTGGAACAGAGACTCTGGGTGACAACTTTAATCCTAGCTCTGCTAAGGACACAGCTATACTTCTTCCATGGTGGGCAGAGCGGAGACTTTGAAAACTCAGGGGTTTAATGAGTGCAAACAAAAGCCACCCATTCTCCTGTGTGAGTCTCAGAAATTTTATTTTCTCATGACATTGCAAGAAGCCCACTTCCACTAGCAATAGGTGGAACACGCTGAGCTCCAAGGTGGTAACTATCTATGTTAAAGCACTTACATTTTTTTTTTCTTGGCTAAGAACAATTCTATTTTGGAGAACTGCTCGAAATCATGACTTTATATAATAAGTTAATGACAAGACCAAATTAGTGTGCATCTTTTGACACCCGAATACTAGAGACTGTCTCTTCTCTGCTTCTCTCTTCCATCCAATCTTCATCAAGCACCCACCGAGTGCAAAGCCCTGGGCCAACTGCTGAGGCTCAGAAGGGGACTGGCAGGTGGGAGCAAAGGTGAACTACTAACAGAGCAATTTCCTGCAATAGTGGGGAGCAAGGCATTTGTGGGAGCCCCGAGCAGAGAGCAATGACTTCTGCTTGGGGTGGCAGTAGGAAGATCAGCACCTTCTACTGAAAGGCAGATCAGTTTAAAGGATGGAAAGAGACAGAGATGGCCAAACAGCAGGAGGGAGGTGAGGGTCAGCAGGTAGGAGATGATGGTAAGGAAGGCTTTCTAGACCAGCGATTGCCAACATTTTGGACCTCATGGATCACCAGTGGTGGACCACTGGTTGGCGACAGCTGCTCCAAAGGTTTCCTTAAACCAGGGGTCACAAACCTTTCAGACATCACAGACCACTGGTTGGCAACTTGTTCCAGACAACTGAACCAACAGCTCAAGCAAAGCCCCAGTTGAATGCAAGAGCAGGTGAGGAGCTTGGGTGTTGCAGGAAGTGGGGGAGGGTTGCAAACCAAACCAGAATGTCAGGAATGAAGAAATCACTTCCCAGGGCCCTGCTGAGAGAGATTAACATTCCTGTGGCTCCAGGATAGACTGAAAAACCCAATCATTTTCTGGTTCAGCTGAGATTTGGACATCACCTTGGTAACTGAAATACCAACAGACCACAGTTCAGACTTGCCTGATGCTCAGAATCAAGTGATCCTGGACCCCCTTCAATCCCCTCCTCCCCCCTCCCCCACACACATACACAATTTGGGGAAAGTCAACTCTGAAACCATTTCATTACATCTATTAGCTGTCTCTCCTCCCCACATTGGCTCTCAGAATCCAAGACCAAGAGACCAGCCCAGGAGGCTTTCCTCCTACCCCTGCCCTACATGAGATAGGGAGTAAGGAAGGGGTAGGGGATGAAGCCAAATAGAGACTGAAACAAGAAGGGAGAGGACTAAAGAACCTGGTAGATCTCCATGAGTGGAAAAGCACAGTATGATAGAGTGCTCCCAACTCCTAATCCAGGGTCCCTCACTTCTCCATGATGAGTAAGATCATGGATTTTCCATTGAAATGCTTCTTTCAAGTTCTTTAAAAATGGAAATTACCCATGTTTGTGGCAATATTATTCACAATATCCAAGAGGTGTAAACAACCCACCCAGTATCTATTGATGGTGAACACACACACACACGAATATTATTCAGTCTTAAAAGTAAAGGAAATCCTGCCACATAATATAATAGATGAATCTTGAGGACATTATGGCAAGTGAAATGTGCCAGTAACAAAAATTCACATACACATCATTATAGAAATATTAAAAACAAAATTGGAAGCTTGTGATGCTTCCCTTTTGAAGCTGCTTTTGTTCATGTCATGTGGAGTCCACGCTAAAATCTGCATTCTGTGCAGTGGGAGTGTACTCTGAATTATGGCTGAGGTTCTAGGGGAATAATGGGTTGCTCTTTGCTCCCACAGTTTCCTAAACGAAGTACATGCCTTCATCAAGTCATCCTGTGTGAGCTAGGTTGGCCTTACAGGGCCCCAGGCAGGACTCGAAAGGAGTCCCTTATTCCCAGCAGCCAACAGATGGTGAGCAGCACCACAAACAACAGCCTTCCACCTGCCAGAGCAGACGGCCTTCAGGCTGGGTACAATCCTGCCATCTCCAAGGGCACCAAGCCCGAGCATCTGGTACTTACTATCTTCTGGAGTCCAAATATTTGTGGGGCCATCACTGCAGGGGCCTGGGATAGATAATGACTTAATGGGTACTGGAGTCACCCTGTGATTTAGTATGACACAGGGAGGCACAGAGAGTTTGTGCCATTTTTTGTCTGATACTGGGCTGTACCAGAGACCATGGAAGAGGAAGCCTGTGATGAGAGCCCTGAACCTGGAGAAAAAGACCAGGGCCCTTCATAGCATCCAACAGAGTTTGAGATACAAATTCATAAAGGATCACTAAAGTTACTGGCAATGGCCACATGTCTGTCAGCTAGAACACGACCCCAGCTCCCATGTCCCCTGTGACCTCAGGTAGAAAGATAGTGCCTTCCCTCTGAAGGGCCATGGAGAGGCAGCTGGTAGATGTGGACACCGAGGTCCAGGGAGCTGTTTTCCCAGCTGAGGCACTGGACTGGGAGACTGCTCTCCAACCTGCATTTCTGAGTCACTAGGGCTCAGCATCCCAAGGCTGTGCCAGCCTCTGCCCCCTCTGAGCCAAGAACTGGTCTCCTTTTCTCCTTTCCCTCTCTGGTTTTGATGTCTGGGCTAGAGGTGAAACCTCAGAGTTGGCAGGGCTGGGGATCCCCCTTCCTGCGAATGAAGAGCGGCCATCCATCCTCACTGCTATATCCCACAAGCACACTTCCTGGAAGCCCTCACAGCTCAGGTCTCATTCCCATAACTCCTCAGGAACATTCTTCTCAGAGCCCCTCAGACATGTGTATCATTCCTTCAAAGGCCGGAGGACTCAACAAAAAAGGCAGAGAATGTTAGCAGTAGTCAAAAAAATCAAAGCCTGAATCTGCCGGGCAACTGCTGGCCAGACTTCAGTCAGGCTTTATGGATCTGACAGGCCTCTCCAAGAAACATGGCTGTTACTCCATTTATAGAGGAGGAAACTGAGGCTGTAGAGGATAAGAGACTTGCTCAGGGCTTGAATTGGAGTCTGCACCATCTTATTTAAAGGCCTGTGCTCTGAATTACCCACTAGATCAAAGTGCATTTGTGAGACGGGTCAGATCCATTTATATTGTGGGTCAAAATCTAACCCACAAGACTTGCTCTCCTCCCACCACCTGCTCGAGAACAGGAATGAGGTTTGCTGGGAAGTGAACCAATAACAAAGTCTAATTCTTTAATGCTTGAGCAACTTCCTCCTGACATTTTCACTCTGACTGCAGAGGAATTGTCCACAGACTGGGAGGCCCTTACTAATCTCCAAGACCTCGCCTTCATTTATTGAAGAATGGTCCTCCATGGCTGCAGAGATGTTAGGGGCAAACCTAAATGAAACCTTGGTGTCTGGGGGCCTCTCAGCTTCATCTGGCAATTCATAATGCCTTAGAAGGACTGGCCAAAGCCAAGGGAGACTACCCAGATTTCCTAGAAAGAAGGGTAAGATATGGTGAAAGGAGAAGTGGTCTTTACATTCCAGATTTCTTTTCACACCCAGGCTTGGGTTTGGGACTGGGACGTAAGCTGTGCTGGTCCAGGGATCAGGCACTGCTCTAGCTAGAGAGGCTGCTGGTGCTGCAGCCGCCCTTGCCCTCCCGCCACGGGACCCTCATGGCTTCATGAAGTAGCCCTGGGTGGGAACACAATCTACCCTCTGAGTTGTAGGTTGTTTTTTAAATGATTTTCATTTCTGTGTATACATGTGATTTGTTTTCTACAATGAATATGCAGCTTTCTTTTTTTAAACTGCTGTCATTAACTTCTCTCTCTATTAAGCTAGATCTTCCTCCCTGCTATTGACCCCTATGGGGCCTGACTGAGCTCCAGGGCCAAAGGAACTGCCTGCTCCCTCTGTCCTGATAGTCCTTCAGAGATCCTGCCCAGTGACCTGCTGCCTGGTGAAGATCCTGGGTTCCTCTGGTGGCACCTCCAAGGACCCTGCATCCAGGTCACCCTCCTCCACACTGTCTCTCTTTGGGTGTGGGGGCAGAACATGCACAGTCCTTCAGGAGGGGCCTGAGAGGCAATTACTAAAGTAGGTCTCCAGAGACCCTGCCCTTAGCGGCTTTCTGAGTGACAGTGTCCCCCCGAGTAATCAACAGCACAGCATTTTCAACCACCCACAGTTTGGCCTACACCCAGAGAGGTCTCCTGGAGCCTGGGGCCAGAGCTCACCTTCTGAGACTCTAACTCCTTGGTAAGCATCAGAACCTGTTGCTCCAAGGCCAAGGCTTTCTCCTGGACAGTTCGGTTCCGTGTGAGTCCCTCAGCAAAGAGCGGGAAGTTGTTATTCGGGCGCTTGGCTTTCTGAATGAGATTGGCAGTCAGAGAGGGTTTGGGTGCAGGCTTCAGAGTCTCCCCTGGATCTTTCCCTGATCAAGAGGAGAAACACAGAGGTTATGACCAGGGGCATTGGCAGTTCTCAAATGAGCTTGCTGCAGAAGCATCTGGAAGATTTGGTAAAACACAGACTGTGGGACGCTACACCCTGAGCTCCTCATTTGACCGGCCTGGGTGGGGGTTGAGCATCTGCGTTTCTAATTCCTAGGTGAAGCTGATGCAGTCTGTACAGGGCTGGACTACGAAACACTATGTATACTGTGCCGGCCAGGTCACCAGCCCATCCTCTCAGATCCCCACCTGCGCGGGTTGTTTGCCAGGTGGTCATCCCCTCAGTCACAAGCCCTGAAGGAATGTCTTGTTTCTTATGTCAGGTTTCCACCTCTACCTTCTGAGCAACTTTCGAAGTACAGAGACCTGTCTCTTGATAGGAACATGGAATATCTGTACTCTGCATCCTTTCCCCAGAGAGCAGCTCACAATCTTCTTTTATTCTTACTATAAGCTAAGTAAGGAGACATATTTCCCTAGAGGCTGCAAAGTCCTTTTATTTCTTCTAGAGCCAGGGTTAGCAACTGATGGCCCACAGGCCAAATCTAGCTCACAGCCTGCTTTTGTAAATAAAGTTTTATTGGGACACAACCATACCCCTTCACTTGGGCACTATCTGTGCCCAAGGGCAGAACTAAATACTTGGAACAGAGACCACATGACCCACAAAGCCTCAGATATTCACTATCTGGCTCTTTACTGAAAATCATTGCTGACCAGTTCCAAATTTTATTCTTAAATCCAATCACTCACTCAAGCTGCCTTGTCCTGCCCTGTCCCCGGCCTTTGCTTTAGGACTCTGCCATCAGTCTGCAACCAGGGACATCTAATGGCCTGATTATATGGTTAAGGGACCTTGAGGATCTTGTTTACATGGCACAGACACATCATGCCAGTTATGAGGCCCTAGCATAGGGGTGTCGAACTCAATCAGAGAAGGTGCCAAAATCTAAAATCCAGCCTAAATCGCGGGCCGAATGGTTTACTGAACAGTCATAAACTGTCATTGTGATGGAAACACAGCGGAGTGCAGTGATGACAGAGTGGTGCGGGCCACATTGCAAGGCCTGGCGGGACAGATTTGGCCCGCGGGCCTTGTGTTTGACACATGTGCCCTAGCAGAATTTCTCCTCAACCCTCAGTGTCAGAAGAGGCTTTGCTTCTTCCAAGAAAGTATGTGCTTATTCTTGTGGACCCTGGAAACAATCTAACCACTTGTCTTCTCTCTTGGCGTGGCTGCTGAGATGCTCAGAGCCACATTTGCTGCCCACCCTTGGCTACTCTGAAGGATCTTATCCTAACTTTCTAACCCTAATAGGTCATTTTCTTTCCCCAGAAATGCATTTTAGTAAGCTATCCCCAACTCTTTTGAGACTAAGGTGTGAAAAATAAGGATGTGGTGTGGGATCCCAGAGGAGGGGACAGGTAGGGCTTGGAGGACAACCTGAATGACTTAGCATTTTTCTTCTGGGGCCCAGGCTGAGGGACAGCCAAACGGGTTTGAACAGATAAAGACTAGTAGGTGACGGGAACCAGAAACGAATGAACTTGTTGGGAATAAGAACAGATTGGTCTTGTTTCCAGACTTCAGAGAAATCTGGGTGACCTGAGGACAGAGCAGCCACGGGGCTCCGAGGAATGCCAGGCAGTTCCCTTTCTGGCCCCGGGCTCTGGGAGAGCCAGACTGTGCGGCTCAGCCCTGCAGCCGTCTGACCTCTGAAACTCTGCTGCCCACCAGCCCTGCAGGCAAGAAGGTAGGGATCACTGAGCTCATTTTACAGCTGGAGAAAACGAGGCCTGAGACAGCGTTTCTCAATCAGGGCCCCAGGATTTCATGGGAATGCCTCATGGCTGACTGGGAAGGGCAGAGGATGGAGGGCTGAGGGGAACCCAGACACTAACTCAACTTTTATCTGTTTGTATATTAGATTTTGTTTATGGCATTAAGATTTCATGGCAATAAAGATGTAGTTTTAAAAATCACTGATTTAGCCGAAACCAGTTTGGCCCAGTGGATAGAGCATCAGCCTGAGGACTGAAAGGTCCCAGGTTCGATTCCGGTCAAGGGCATGTACCTTGGTTGCGGGCACATCCCCAGTAGAGGGTGTGCAGGAAGTAGCTGATGGATGTTTCTCTCTCATTGATGTTTCTAACTCTCTATCCCTCTTCCTTCCTCTCTGTAAAAAAATCAATAAAATATATTAAAAAATAAAATAAAATAAAATAAAAATCACTGATTTAGAAAAGGAGGCTTCAGGCCGCAGCACGGGGCCAGAGTGCTGGGCCTGAATCCTGGTCTGTCACTCTCTGTCCTCGGTTCCCTCGCTTACTAAACCTGAGAATAACAGAGGCTGCCGCTCAGGTTGCTGTAAGTATAAACAGCTTCTGCAAGTAAAGTGATTAGTGCACATGGTTGAAACCTGAAAGGTTCTAAGTGCAAGAAGCCAGACGGCAGGGACCACATGTTGTATGATACCGTTTGTATAAACTATCCAGAATAGGCAGGCCTGCAGAGATAGGAAGTAGATTGGTGGTTGCCTAGAATTGGAGGGAGGTGGAGATTGGGACTGATGGCTGAGTGATGTAGGGTTTCCTTCGAGGGACGGGGGGTGGGGGTATTACAAGTGTTCTGGAATTGACTATGGTGATGGCTGCATAACTCTTGAATACACTGAAAGCCACTGAACTGTATGGTATGTGAATCATATACTAATACAAATATTACCCCTCCACCCAAAGTGCTTAGTGGCACAAATAACTACTATATGTAAATGCTAGCTTCATTGTTACCCTGTTTCCCCGAAAATAAGACAGTGTCTTATATTAATTTTTTCTCCCAAAGTTGCACTAGGTCTTATTTTCAGGGGATGTCTTATCTTTCCATGCGCTAGGTCTTATTTTCGGAGAAACACGGTATTACTGACTCACTATGGTCCTGATCTCCTGCACTGTTCCTATGACCTGCGGGGTCTCCCCAGACACTGCTCTCACGGGGCACTTTTCTTAGAGTCACTTTTACATTCCGCCATGAGAAGAACACACAGTGCTGCCTCAGCCAGTTTTCTCCCAACTGTTTCTAAGTTAAAGTCTGTTCTAAGGGCACCAATGCCACTTTCAAAAAAGCCAACCTCTCCCTCCGTCCCCTCCCCATGGTGTGAAAGAAACTCACATTTTGTGAAAGAAACGAACAAGTGCTATGTCATAGCTGGATGGGACCTAAATGCCATTTGCTCTGCTTCTTCAGGCAGAGCTGACGAATTTTAATCACCATAGGAAGGCATTTTTATATCCTTTTTTATAAATTAAAAAAAAAGTATGAAAGTGAGTGAGATTTTCCTTTATTACTTCAAGAATCATGGCTGAGGTTTAGTTTGGGAAGGTGAAGAGTTCTGGAGATGCATGATGGTGGTGTTTGCAGAAGAATGTGAATGTACTTAATGCCACTGAACTGCACCCCTGAAACAGGTTAAGTTTTATGTTATGTATATTTCACAACAACAATAATAATCAATCATTGATACTAAACACATAAACCCAGAAGGAGTGCTCCCGGAGAGTACCATGGTTGACAGAAAAGCACAAATGCTGGTTTCTGGGGAGAAGGGCACTCAGTTTCTGAAAGCAGCTCAGTCCTGGGCAGAGGCTCACCTGGGGCACTGGGGTCAGGGGATGAGGGCCGCTCCTCCCTCTGGGGCTCGCTGCTCGGCAGAGGATCTTCCCCTGGAGGTCCATGGCCTGTTCCTTGGGCCTGCCTGTTGCCCCGGATGCTGTACATCGTGTTTCTGAAGGGAAACAGAGGAGCACGAGGCTGACAGCCCTGCCACTCTGTTCCTTTCCTCCCCGCTGGCTGCCACCGGTCGAGCTCAAGCTGTATCCTACGCCCAGGCATGGCCTGATCAGTATGCGAGACGCCAGGCACCCTGAATGATGCACCCCACCGAGCCACTCCTGATCCCCCTCACCCCTCTTCTTCCCATCATTTCATTGCTTTTCACCTTCCACAATGTTGCTTATAAACAATATAAGCTTGATTCCCTTGCCCCAATCCCGCAGCTGGAGTATAAGCATTGAAGGTAGGGATGTTTGTCTGTTTTGTCCAGCAAAGTACTTTGAATGCATAGAACCGTGCCTGAAATATAGAGGGTCTTCGTTATATACCGTATTTTTCGGACCATAAGACGCTCCGGACCATAAGATGCACCAGTTTTTAGAGAAGGGAAATGAAGAAAAAAAGATTCTGAAACAAATAGTGTCCTAAAATATTTTATGTGCATTAAAACCCAACATCACAGTCATAAACACATGTAATCAAACCTGTAAAGTAAACAGCAGCATTTAGAACCATTTTAGAGCCGGGCAAGCACACAGAGACCACACAGAGCCGGGCAAGTAAAAAAACTTTTTTTTTAAAGTATATGTGTAGGCTATATTTGGACCATAAGACGCAGGGACTTTTTCCCCCCACTTCTGGGGGGAAAAAAGTGCGTCTTATGGTCCGAAAAATAAAGTATATGTTGAATAAATGTTGAATGGATTTGCCACACTAACTTTCCTAAAACCTTCAACTGGTCTTGTAACTACCTGGCTCAGATATAATCAGATTGTTGTACTTCCTACTTCTGCTGAGAAGAGTTCCAAACATCTCTTGGCATCCTTCTCTAGATTTCTTTCCCTGCTCTGATCTGTTCTCTCTGAAGCCTTCACTGGTCACCACACGGCATACAAGGAGCTCACTGCACTTCATGAATGGGCCACCTTGTGACCAAGTACTTGCCTAAGCTGAATAATGAGATGTCTTTTCTTCATGAACTGGGCACTAACATACCTGCATGCCTGCTGGCACCTGTGCCCAGAGTGTAATCTCTATACATGATTGGTTTGCAGGTAGCACCAAAGGCTGACTTAGGACAAGAGACCACAGAGAAATTCATAGTGAGTCAGATAAAAAGACAGTTCAATTGAGTTTTTCTTTTCCCTTTGCAAGATATAAAAGTAGACATATTCCAAAATTAGTTAACAAGGAAGAGAAAATGATTAAAGGAGTTCTGTAGGTCAGTGTTTTTCAAACTGCAAGTTATAAACCATTGGTAATTATGAAATCAGTTTAGTATCACGATCAGCATTTAAAAAAACAAAATGGAACATATGAGGATGTATTTCACTTAGAGAGGGTTAATATTTTGTGAAGTGTGTGTGTGTGTGTGTGTGTGTGTGTGTGTGTGTGTGTACTGAGCTATTTCTCCCTGTGGTCATGATCAACAGGTAGAAAACACTGCACTGGAAAGTCACTTATTTAAGGGCAGCAATAGCATGATTTAAAAAAAAAAAAAAAAGAGGATGCGAAAGTCTGTAGATCTGTGCTGGAATCCTGGCTCTGCTATATCATCACCAAGTGGGGGACAAATTACTCTGAAAAACCCTTATTCCAAAACTCCTAGATGCTAGGTAAATACAATATAAAACATATTTCACAAATATTTAGCTGAATTCCCAGGAAAGGAAGAGAAGTTCTCAGGCACTAAATATGAAAAAGGAGGTGAAACTCAAATGGGAAATAAAGAGAAAGGTCACCATGTAGATTAGATTACTGTTCAGCAAATACAGGCATATCTCAGAGAAACCTTTTTGTTTTGTTTACACTGTACTAGGATACAGTGAACACCTCAGTAGCTTCTGGGGCTGATACATCTCTATCACTACAATTACTTTAGCAAACTGGTTCCCTTCACTTCTGCCACATCACGCAGAGTTAGTGATTGAGTTTGCACTCAGAGATACTTTAATTTAAAAATATCTTATTGCTAAAAAACGCTGAGCCTTCTGAAAAATTGGCGCTGACAGACTTGCTCAATGCAGATTATCACAAAACTTATAAAAAATGCAGTATCTGTGAAGTGTACCAAAACAAGCATGTCAGTATTCGCTCTTTCACCTCCACCTCCATGAGAACAGAATGCTTCCCCTTTTCCCTCTTAACTTGGAGCGTGGCCATGTGACTTGCTTGATCAAAGAGACGTTAGCAAATGTGATATGAACATAGGCTTCAACTATGCACAGCTTGCCCTCTTGAGGAACATGCCTCAGGGAGCTGTGGCCCATGGAAGATGAGAAATATGTGGTAGAACTAGATCTTTCCAATAGCTCAGAGTCACGACCAGGTGAACCTAGCCTATAGCAACTGGACTAATATGGGTGCAAAAGAAATGCTTATTAATATGACATTGAATTTAGAAGTGTTCTTTTGCAGCATTATTGTCGTAGGAGTTGACTAAGATATAAATCTGTTTAGGGAGCAACTGTTGGTTTTTTGTGTGTGTTTTTTTGAGATATGTTTGACATATAACATCATATCTGTTTCAGGTATAAAACATAGTATGTACATACTATGAAATGATCACCACAATAAGTATAGTTAATATCCATCACCCACACATAGTTACAGATTTTTTTCTTGTGGTCAGGGATTAACTGTTGATACCAAAAACCTAGAGCCTTGGTTGCAAGGGAGGAAGGAAAACAAGGTTTGGACCCATAGAAATTATAGGGCTGAAATTGAAATTTTACAGAAAGCTGGGATTCCTGAAAATCCATATGTTCTCTGAAGAGGTGGGTTATAAAAAACACAAAGAAATTCTAGGTGAAGTTCTGGGTATTCAAAAAAATTTATAATATCATTATTTGGTTTGGGTATCATGGTAATACTGACCTTATGAAATGAATTGGGAAGTGTTCCCTCCTCTTCTTTTATGGGGGGAGAGTTTATGAAGAATTGGTATTAATCTTTATGTTTAGTAGAATTCACCAGTGAAGTTATCTGGTCTTAGATGTTGTTATTTTTTATTTTTTATGGATAGTTTTTTGATTACTAATTCAATTTCCTTACATGTTATAGGTCCAATCAGATTTTCTATTTCTTCTGATTCAGTTTTAATAATTTGTGTCTTTCTAGGAATTTGTGTATTTCATTAAAGTTATTTAATTTGTTGGCATATAATTGTTCATAGTATTCCCTTATAATTTTATTATTTTTGTAAGGTTGGTAGTATTGTCCCCTTTTGTTTTTGATATTAGTAATTGAGTCTTATCTGTTTAGCTAAAAGTTTGTTGATTTTTTTTCAAAGAATAATTATTTAATCTGAAACTTATCTTTAAAAGAAAATCTAGTTTCTTGGTATAATTGGGTCCAAAATAAAAATGAGATTTCACTTTAATGGAGAAATTAAGAAATTAAACTAAGAATAGAGAAGAAATTAGAAGTCAGCACTCTATCAAACTTTAAAATTTGGTCTCTGATTCCTTTTATTCTGTTTTTATTAAGGTCCTATTTTAAGAAGCCCCTGACTCCTTGCTAGTCACTTCCCCTTCCAAGTTCTTATTTTCACCATGTAAAAATAAACGGTGGTAGGCCGTATAGAAAGAATGATGAGGCAATGAGGGACACTATTTACTAAGTAGCATTTTGTGCTGGGCCCTGTGCTGAGCTCCCTTACTATGTATCTTACAAACCACAAACCACAAGCCACATGACTTGGAGAAGACCAGAGACACATCCCTGCAGCCAGAGGAAGTGGCTGGGTGGGGTGACCATCATTGCTGCCCATACTCCCCCTTACCCAGGGATTGCAGCTTCCCCAACATGTCTAGGAGCTCACAGTCAACCCTGGGATAGAAGAGGCATAGAAACACCAACCTCAGGGCAGTAAAGGGCCTTCTGATCTCTACAGACACAGACCAGGTGGCCACTACCCAACCAAACTATTGTGCTTGGAACAGGCAACTCCCTTTCATAAATTTATTGATTTGGGTTGGAGAGGTTCATAGATAATTTTCTCTGTAGGTTTAGCTCTAGCTCTGAAATGCTTAGTTAGCATAAAGGTAGTGGTCAAAAAGCTTGTTCTGGAAAGGAAGTCATTTATCCTTTCTGAGTCTGGGTTTTCTCACCTGCAGTGGGGATGATGAATGTATTCACCACAAGGAGGCCCTTTACGGACTGGGCTCTAAGCTAAACACTAGAAATACACCTCATTTAATCCTCACACACATACATTCAATGCATTTAATCCTCATGACAGCCCAATGGAGTGAATATTGTTATCACCTCCATTGCACGAGAGAACTGAGGTTCAGAAAGGGTAAGTAACCAAAGCCACAGAGATGATAAATGGTGGGGCTGAACATTAGACCTGGACATCTGACTCCATAGCCTGAGAACTTAACTGTTTTAATACCACTTCACCAGGTTGCGCAAAAAACTCAATGAGAGCATGAAGCATCCAGTATGGTGCTCTGGAAGCTCCCTTACTTACTTCCCCAGACTATGACCTAGGCTCATGGCAGACCTAACTGTAAGCTCTAAGACCAGCCGGGGCCAGGGGGTACAGGAGACAAGGGCAACCTTGAATTCACTGGGCTCTCCCCAGGACACATGCAATGTTCCCTTGCATTTTCTGTGGGTTATTGCAAGTGTCAGGAGGGAGGTAACTGACTAATCCCTGAAACTTCCTTCCTTTCTTGGTCTCTGCATGCTCTCTGTTCCACTTGTGTTGTTTGTGGCCCTCTCAGGCAGGAACCTGGCTTAATGTTGGTGAGACCACCCTGGATACAGTGTGTACCAGCTGGTTGGCTGAAGTTCTCAGGCCCCTCAAACACCCCCCCCCCCCCAATTAGGCTCATAATACTCCCAGTTCTCTCCAGCTCCTCCTTAGAGAAGATCCACACTGCAGGGGGTGGAGGGGGGCGGGGGCTCAACCATGCCCCATACTCCCCAAGTCTCTCTAACTCAGATTGCTCTCCTGAGTTCCAGGTCCTCCACCCAGTGCCTGCTGGGTAGTCTACCTCCAGACCCTAAAGAACACTCATTGTCTTTCCCCTAAAACCTGCTTTTATCCTGGGAACAGAATCACTACCCTTCTAGTTACCCACGCAAACTCAAACGCTGAGGCTGACTGAGGGAAAAGCTAAACCTGAGTCACACAGAGCCAGGGTCTCTGATCTGAGTCCAGTGAACTCAGAGGCCCAGTTTGTATGAGGTCCTCACAAAAAATAAGCACCCAAACAGATCAGAATTGGGTATAGTCTGAATTCCCAAAAGCTCCCATTTCTTCAGTAAGAGCAACAATAGCAGCAGCAGAGTGGGCAAAAGTAGGTTTACAGTGTTGAGTACATGAAAGTTTGTTCTTGTATTATTATTTATAAATCATTGTTATTTTTCCATGTGAACAACTGTAAGCCTACTTTGCCCCACCTGTATTTATTAAGTACCTACCCATTGCCAAGCACAGTTCGAAAGCAGTTTGCATGAATTGACCGATTAACCACCGCACTAACCATATAAGGCAAGCACTGTTGAATTTTATATTTACTAACAATTTAAGTGAAGCACAGAGAATTTAAACAACTTGCCAAGGATACCAGAGCCCATGACTGGTGGAGCCAGAACACATATCCAGGCAATTTGACTCCAAAGCCCAGGCCATATTGCTATCTTTTTATAACCTATTTAAAACAAAGCCTGCGGACTGCTGATCCTCACAGCCAATTGGCTTGGAGATCAACGCTTCCCAGTGATACCAACAATAAGCAAGGCTTAACAACAAGACTGCACACACAGCCCACAAAGGGCTACACCAAGACTGTCCACTGCAGGTAACTGGGAAGGCTGTGCTACTGGGCTCTACCAGAACACCTAGCACACAAAGCTATTCCATCAAATCAGGGAGACAACTAAAATGCAGACAAGAAGAAGGACACAAAGGAAGGAGATGGAGGAAAAGAAAAGATTGGACATTGAGTTCAAAACTACAGTTATAAGGTTATTCAACAATATCCTAAAAAAGGCCGATAAAATAAATGAGACCTAAGAGGATATGAAAAGGGAGCAACTAGAAATAATAAGGGATCAACAAGAAATGAAGAAAACATTGTCTGAAATAAAAAATATTATACAAAGTCCTAAAAACAGACTGGAAGATCGCAAGAATCAAGACAAAGATTTAGAACACAAAGAGCCAGAGGACACTCCTCTGCAGAAGGGAGAAGATAAAAGAATCCAGAAAGTTGAAGATAGTGTAAGAAATCTCTGGGACAATTTCAAGCGAACCAACATCAGAATTATGGGGATTCCAGAAGAGAAAGAGCAAGATATTGAAAGAGTACTAGAAGAAATAGTGACAGAAAACTTCCCCCACCTGGGGAAAGAAATAGACTTACAAGTCCAGGAAGCCCGCAGAACCCCAAACAAAAGGAATCCAAGGAGGACCACACCAAGACATATCATAATTAAAATTCCAAGAGCAAAAGACAAAGAGAGAATATTAAAAGCAGCAAGAGAAAAGCAGGTAGTGACCTATAAAGGAGCACCCATAAGATTGTCAGCTGATTTCTCAACAGAAACCATGCAGGCCAGACGGGAATGGCAAGAAATATTCAAGGTGATGAATAACAAGAACCTACAGCCAAAAATAATCTACCCAGCAAAGCTATCACTCAGAATCAAAGGACAGATAAAGAGCTTCACAAATAAAAAAAAGCTAAAAGAGTTCATCACCACCAAAACAGAATTATATGAATTGCTGAAGGAGGTTATTTAGGAAGAGGAAGAAGATAAAGATAAAAATTATGATCAACAAATACGTAGCTATCAACAAGTGAATCTAAAAACCAAGGGAATTTAAAAATCTGATGAACAATATTAACTGGTGAATATAATAGAATCAGAGGTATGGAAGGGGAGTGGACTGACGATTCTCAGGGAAAAGGGGAGTGGGGGTGCGGGAAGAGACTGAACAAAAACTGTACACCTATGGATGAGGACAATGGGGGATGGGGAAAGGACAGAGGGTGGGGTGGGAACCTGGTGAAGGGGAGCAATTGAAGGGGGAAAGAGGATCACATTTGTAATAATCTGAACAATAAAGATTTATTAAAAAAATAATAATAAAAAAATAAAATCAATTAAAATATATTAAAAAAATAAAATAAAATAAATAAAACAAAGCCTGCGGATGAGAAATTGTATATGTAATACATTATTAAATGAAAAAGTAGCTGATATATGATGGACATCTAATAAATTACACATTAAAAGTGAATAATTTGATGTGTTTGACATATATAGACATTTATGAAGCTATCACCACATTACATTCAGCATGATATCAATTATGCAGGTATGTGTACAGAAGGAAAAAGATACACTAAATGCTAAGAATACTTGTCTGAGTGATAGGAATATGGATAATGTTAAATTTATATCTTTTGAGATGTTTCTAATTTCTAAAAAGAATATGCACTACTTTTAAAATCAGAACAATGAATGTAATATTTTAAAGTAATAGCATGAATTGAAAATAGAGCTGCTAAACCAGTGGTTCCCAACCTTTTTTTGGCCATGCCCCATCTAAGCATCTCCAAGTGAACTCCTAGTCATGGGGAGGAAGCCTAAAAGGACATTAACTTGGTCTAAACAAACTTCCAAAGAACACGGCACTCATGAAAGAGAAAAATAAAAGAATGGCAGGACAGTTGAAGTATTGAGGAAGAAATCACTAAAAAATTGTTAAAAAAAATAATAATATGAAGTGATATGAAAAAAATAGCAAAAAAGTTTCAAAACATATAATATGTTTTGAATGCATAAATATGTCACAATATATATTTATATACTGCATATGAGGCCCCTAGAAACATAAGAAATGCAAAAAATTCACTGTTAACTCATTCTCTAATTGCCCCCCTTAAAAATCAAATTGCCCCACATTGGGAACCAGTGCTCTAAAACCCTCCCCATCAGCCCTCCTCCCTACTGGGAATCACCCCAGTTCACAGTAAGCTCTAAAGAAGGGGCTGCTTGCTGTTTGGCCAGCCCCTCAGCCCCACTAGCACTTACTGTATTTCGGTTCCCAGGTGCTTGAGGGAAATATTCTGAAGGGCTGAGGGCATGGCAGGGGCTGGCTGCAAGGCGGCTGCCATACCCACGAGTCCAGGGGGCGTTTTCACGGGGCACAGGAACTCCTCCAGCTCCGCCTCCTCTTGCTCTGGGGAACAAAGGAAAGAGAAATCACCCATTGGGTCATTGCACTTGGAAGGACCAGACAGGTGGGTGCTATGGGCTCAGCTCCAACTGGGAACAGGTGGGAGTCAAACTGAGCAAGACTTTCTTGTGGGTAAACAGCAGCCAAAGAGGCAGGTGGCGTGTTACTCAACCATTTAAAATGATGCTAAGGAAGAATATTTAAGAACATGGGGAATATGCATGGCACATACTCTAAGGTTGAAAAGCCAGATAAAAATCGAGGTTATAGTATGATCTCCGTTGTATAGGAGAGTCTCAAAGAAATACTTGGCAATCTTAACAGTGGTCAGAACTGCATGCTGGGATTAAAAGTGAGCAGGCTACTCATTAGAGTTTAATGTTTTCCCCAAATTTTCTATAGTAAATATGGGTTACATCTATAAACAGGAAAGACTATATATTTATCAAAAGTAGGTACTAACAAACAGATTTTACAACACAGGGACATTTTAGTGTCACAATACTGAGTATCAAAAAGCAAAGTAGAGCGTTTTGTATTGTTATCTGATCAGAAAATCATTTACATTAATAATAATAATAAGACGTAGGTGGGAGATAACAATGCTAACACTGGCTCTCTGGGTGGTAGGCTTATGGCTACTTTTCTATGTTTTCCAAATGTTCTGCTTAAACAGGAATTCTTATACAGTGAGTACTTTAAAGGCTTAAATATTAAGGAAGGTTTCAAGACTATTGAAACATTATTTGAGATATAAGAGAGAGGCGGTGAAAGACTCAGAAGTTCGCTTTGAGTGCTACCAGAAGTCGATGAGAACCAAGGCCACTTGGAGATGGTATGATCTTGACCAGGCAGCCCTGAGACGCGCAGGGCAGCAGACACCCTTTACTTGGGGGCCCTTACTGAGAGGGCGAAGGGGTAAAGGACATTTATTTTTGCCTTGCATCTGCAAGAACATTAAATGCAATGGTGGGGGCCAGGGAGAGTTGCTCAATCTACTTGAGAATAAACTTTGCAGTCTAACTTGGCAAATAACACATTATCAATCCCCAAAAGGCTCTTTCGGATGCAGCAGCCTGGCTGGTACTTGGCCACACCTACTCATTCTTTTGAGTTCCTCCCTTCAGTTTACTTTCTCAGTTGTTTGGGCGTCTACTCTTAAGTTTCCAGGTGGGGCTGGAGAAAGTGAGATCATCAAAGGCACAGGAAGCTCCCAGCTTTAGGAGCAGGGAAAAGTGCACGCGTTAGGGAGACCAATTGGGTGGAAGCTAGAGGGCAGGCCAACCGGATTCTGGAGTTCTGGGAGGTGGAGACAGATTCCTTCTGACTCAGGCCAGGGAAGACTTCCTGGAGGAAGGGCATTAGAGCAAATGGAGAGCTGGAGGTGATTTGGCCTGCAGAAGGAGTGGGGGAAGGGGTTCCGGAGCCAGAGTTGAGGATGCCAGAGGGTTCCAGAGGAGGAGGTGATAAGGACTAACGGGATGGGGTGGCTAAGAAGAGATCACATCTGGCTGGAATGGCAGAGCCCCCTGGGGGTTTCAGCAGGAGCCAGAAGAAACCTGGCGGCCAAACCATGTTTCTGCTGGGCGGGTGCTGTGACCAGGCTGATCATTTTTCTCTTTCTGCTTTACGTTCCATATTTTAAAAACTGGACAGCCACGGTGCATTCTGTCTCCTTCAGGGTTAAAATTTATTAAAATGTTTAGAAAACCATAAAGCCCCATACTGTGGATGCACATCTTTCAAAGGAGTCTTTGATTCAGACTTTGAGCTGATTCAAAATAATTAAGGTCTCCTTGCTTATCAATACTTTAACCATCTTCATTCTCCCTCAATCACAACAAAGAAAAAAGTTACCATCTGTCTAAGATTTTAATGTCTTGGCGAGTACTTCCCTAACTGCTAATATTTGTTTTCCGTTAACTTCCACCTGTGGCTCTAGACCTACTGAGGCCACACAGAGAACATCTTGGGGGTAAATCTCACCCTGGGATTCGTTTCACCGATGAGGAAACAGCAGCTCGGAGAGAGTGAATTTTGTGACCAAGGTCGCCCAGCTGCTAGCACAGCCATGGATTCAACACAGTTCCTCACTTTTCCTTATTACAGCAGCACTTCTGACAAGCGGACATTACTAAGAAGGAAAGCAATAACTCCCAGTGCAAAGGGTGTGTCCAAAGGATGAGAGGCACATGACAGTGATGCTGCAGGGAAGGGTAGTACTTCCTTCAGGAAATAGAATTGACCCAAGACTCTGGTCTGGGGCCTCTAGGTCCCTCTCCAGCCTGGAGACGTGTCCCCAGTGAGGTGACCATACAAAAAATTTTCTGCAGCATTTACTTTTAATTCTCCTTTTGTCTGAACTGTAGAGGCTGTGCCATTACCAGTAGGAAGACACCATCACCTACAATCAGGGCTTAGACCAGTAGGCCACTGGTTTCCTGGAGGGCCCTGGCACATGGCCTGTCACCTCCTCAGCTTGAGGGTGGGGTGCGTGTTTATGTGAGTCTACAGACTAGGGTTCAGATTTCAGCTCTGACATCTTACTGTTTGACCGGAGCCTCTTCGACCCTTAGTTTCCTCTTCTGTAAAATGAAAGTAACAGTAAAAAATCTCATAAGATTGTTGTGATGGTTAGCTAGATGGTGCATGTGAAGTGCTGCAACAATGTAAGTGGTATGGATATTTTTATGATAAACATTTATAAAAGTGCTTTGTGAGATGTGTCCTACTTTGGCCCCATGTCTTTATTATCAATCTGTTGGCTTCCCCTTGATCTTCCTTGGCTCCATGGAGACCAATGTTCAGGGGAAATATAAAATGAAGGTGTGAACGCTTAAAGCTGTAGAGAACGTGCCTTGTGCTCAAAGGCAGCCCTGAGACGCTGTGCACGATAAAGTGCCTCTGATTCAGCCAGACGCCAGTTGGTAGGTTTACATTGCCCTGATGGCAGGCCCCTGCTTCCTCCAAGGAAGGGAGGCACTTGAGAGGTGGGGCAGCCTGCTCCAGACTGCCAACCCACGGCCTGCCAGCTTGCTCAAGACTCCAGAAATGTCTCTCTGGTGAAAGTTTCACAGGGGCCCTGGTCCTGGATGGTGAGGGCTTGCTGCAGGATGAGTAAGACTTCAGAGGGGAAGCCCACATGCCTGCTTCCTGCATCTCCCCAGTGTCCTCCTTGGGAGACTGGCATCCTGGTCATGACAACCACTCCCCTGCCCCCATGCCCATAGCAGGAGCTGGCCCAGAAGAGGCCCTCCGAATGTGCTGAATCCAAACCCAAGAATTCAAGAATTTGGAAAGGGTTCAGCACAGCAGCTGAACCCGTGGGATCCCTAAACTGGCAACCTGGTTCTTCCCATCTCAAGTCAGGGAGGGCTTCTCGTTGCTTCTGGTCCGAGGCTGATGGGGAATTGTGCCAACTCAGACTGCAGTTTTCAGCATAGCCAGGGTTGTTTAGCTCTAGGAGGTGAGGAGTGGAGGGCAGAATAAAATAGTAGAAGCAAAAATAAATAAACCCTTCCCCAAAGAAAGCCCTTACAATCATAAAACACTCAGAAGGTTCTCAGGAGAAATTACTGATGATTACGAATAAAAAGATGCAGTTGTTATAATAATAACAACAGTGTACATGTATACATATAATAATATTATTATGACAGATGCCATATACTGAGCATTATGTGCCTGGAATTATATTAAAAGATTTACATTCATTTCCTCATTTAATTATGAAATTCAATGTATTTGCTCATACACTCATGCAACAAATATCCAATGTGCCAGGCAGGGCACCAGGTAATGGGGACACAGGTGACAAGGACACAGCCTTCTCCCTCTAGAGCTAAGGGGCAGAGATTGACAAGGACACTCTACTTAGAACACAATGTGACAGCCTCAAGAATGGTCTGGAAGTGTTGAGGAGTCCAGCTGACAAAGTCCCAGAAGGCTTCCAAGGGGAGATTGGCAAGAGGAGGGGGGGACACTAAAGCTTGGCCATCGAGAAGAAGTAGGATTCCCAGGCCGAGAAGAGAACAGAGATGCCTCTGGCACTGTCAAGCATAAGACACGAGGCAGCACACACAGGTGAGAGCAGGAAGGACTGAATTTGGTGATAAAGAGCTAGGACTGTGTTTGGGTCTGGGACATAGTGAGCAGCCTGGAAAGGGGATTGGGGCTCAGGCTGTCACTTTATTTATTTATTATTATTTTAAAAATATATTTTTATAGATTTCAGAGAGGAAGGGAGAGGGAAAGAGAGATAGAAACATCAATGGTGAAAGAGAATCATTGATCAGCTGCCTCATGCATGCCCCTCATTAAGGATTGAGCCTGCAACCCAGGTATGTGCCCTGTCTAGGAATCAAACCCTGACCTCCTCGTTGATAGGTGGATGCACAACCACTGAGCCCAGGCTAATCTCAGGCTGTCACTTTAGAAAGCTCACGCTGACTGCAGTAAGGAGGATGGTCAGAGGGGGCAGGCTGGGACATTGGGGATACCAGAGTGGAGGCTGCTCCATAATTTTCCAACTAAGAGCTGAGGCCTGACCCAAGGCCACAGCAGTGAAGTGGGGACTGGGTCTGATGTGTAGGCCACAGGGAGACGAGGCCAGCACTGGCGACCGACGACTGGTTAACTAAGATGCAGGAAGAATCTGGTTGGCTCTTGGTTACTGGAGCAACTGAGTAAATTGGGGAAGAAAAATTGGGGGACAAGAGTCTGGGGCAGATGAGCTCAGTTTGGGACATGAAAAACATCTGGGTGTGGAGGTCTAGGATGCACTTAGGCCACAGGCCTGCCCTCACCATTTGGCTTCCCTGTTAATTAAGGATGAAGCATCTTAGACATGCTGCAGATCTGTGGTGGAACCTCACTCTCTGTGCTCCTGCAGGGGCAGCTGTGGGCGGTCAGTCCTGATTCTAAAATCTGTCAGTCATATTCCTGGCTTCAGCATGGGGGTGGGAGGGAGTGATCTCCAGGACTCCTCCCTGTTGGGATGTTGTAGGATTTGGGATCAAGAAAATTATTTGTGGGCCAATAATTTGGGGGTGAAGGATTCTGGCTTATGCGAACAACTGGAATAATACATTGAACACTGGTCTACACAACTCATAGCACAAAAGCATCTGTGTAAAGCAGCAGTAACAATAGCTGCAATTTCTCATTAATCTACCTCAGACCAACTCAGAATGTCTTAAGACATTCCCATTATAGTCATCGTAATAGTAGCTGATAGCTATTGAACTGACAATATGCAGGCATCATTCCAACCACTTATTAAGGTATACAGATTCATTTAATCCCCACCAAAACCCTAAGAAGTAAGTATAATTTCTTTACTGACCTCATTTCAAGGGAAGGAAACTAAAGCTCAGAAAGGGTAAACAACTTGCCTAAGACCACACAGGATTAGAATGTGAACCAGGCAGCCTTGCCCTTGCCACTCTATGGTTGCCCTAACTGATCCTGAGTCACATCCCTGTCTCCCTGCATCTTAGCAGAGGGCTCCATCCACTCACTTCTAACAGGAGGGGTGAGGCTTGGTCACCAAGAGCCCTGGGTATGCACAGGAGGCGAGCCCACTGGGTACCTAGCTCAAGGCGCAGGGCAGGCTCATTCCCAGCCAGGGCAGCGTCAGAGGCGACAGGAGGTGCAGGCAGGCTGTTGTGGAACTCCCAGCGCTTCATCTGCAGCTGCTGCAGCCAGTACAGCATCACTTGCTTGTTGGCGGCCTGAGAAGCACAAGGGTTAGTTGGCAAGGAAGGCTCTGTGCCCACAGGGTGGCACTAGATATGGGATGTGGGAAGGTCAAGGGAGGCTCGGTAATGCTCCTTTTCACTGTGGCTGGGTGCCCACCTAGAAAACACCACCTGCTTCTTGGCTATGAAAGGTAATCAGGCTCTGGTCTCCCACTTAGAGGTCCCTTAACCTTGCTGGGCCTCAGGGTCCTCATCTGTACTATGGTGATGACAACACTCATCTCACAGGACGGTTGTTATGAGGATGAAATGAGATAAGGAAGGTAAAGTGGTCAGCACAGTATCTGACATACAGTAGGTGCTCAAAATGTGCTCACTGGGTAAAGGAATTTGGAGGTGTTAAGAGAGAGGGTAAGAGCTTTAAAATTCTGCCTGGGTGGGGCCCAGGATACCATCACTATCTCTGTCTCTCTGTGCAACATCTCAATGTCTTAGCTGACTTTTTTTGTGGAATGGAGATTCCCTTCTGTTTTAGTGATGCACGGAAAGCATGCACATGATTGGGGACTGGAAAGCCAATGCACAGCATGACAGAGTGGCAACCTCCAGGCACTCCCCTCCCCCCCAGCAGTTAATGGCTGATGCTGATTGGTCTTCCACCACTGGATGGGACAAACGTCTATTCTCACATCCATTAGGTCACCAGATCCTCCAGGGAGGAGGCCGGGCAGGAGTGATCAGCCCCTTCTACAGATGGAGAAACTAAGGCTCTGAAGCCTCTTGGGTTGGTCCCAGAAACGGGGTCTCCCACTTCTCCCACTTCCAGAGCTTCGTTGTAGTTTATGGCCAGGAGATGTGGCTTATGTAGCAAAGGACTGCGATTGATTGGGCACAGAAGCTGGGCAGTTCGCTCGGAGTGGATGGTGAGTCTCACAGAGCTGCTCACAATCTAGGCCGCATGAGAAAAGCAGGAGGCAACCAGGGCAAGCTCCTCCTTTTAAGAGGCTCACAGGTGAGGTGTGCACGAGGCCAGGGGGCTCCAAGAAAGAGGCCCTTGGTCTGTCATAAAGATATCAAATAAGATAAGGCAGGTGCCCACCAATCTTCCCTTTCTATACATTTATCCTGAGAGACCCCAGGCCTTTCCATGGCTTCACCATGACCTTGTACCGACAAGGTCCAGCTCAAAACCAAACCCATTTTATTAAATCACTGGACAATCATCTATGAGCACCTGCTATCTGTGTCAGGGACTGAGGGAGGCACTGGAGATACTGTGGAGAGCCAACACACATGCCTCTGTCCCCTTAGAACTTAAGAGTCTTCCAAGGAGGACATATACCCAATGTCCTACTGTCTCCTCATCCTGGGTTCAACTCCTATCAGTGACTGGACCAACCAGGCAGTCAGCCAGTTACAGGAGGCATCCCTGACTCCTCTCTTACATTCTTCCTGCCTCACATCCCTAGCCACTGTCTCACTCTGTCACTGCTCTGGCTCAGCCATCATTCTCTCGTAATCACCTCCTGATGGACTCCCTGACCTCCAGCCTTGCCTTCTCCTAATTTGTTCTCTAACCAATAACCAGACTGAGCTTTCTAAGCATTCTATTGTACTATCACAGTGCTTCCTTGCTTAAAGCTCTTTAACAATTTCCCATAAGCCCAAGCTCCCTGTCATCACTCATAATGTCCTGCCCTCCCCCAGGGGTTCTGTTCTCACATTCCATTTTTTGGGTCCCTCTTTACCAAAGCTCTTGGAACTTGCCTGGACACTGGGTGGTAACATGATTTCCCATCTTTGTTCATGGGGTCTCTTGACCTAAAATAATATCCTCCCTCTTGTCTGCTGGTAGAAAATGGATGTCCTCTTTCAGGATTCAGATATCATCCCTTCTATGATGTCCTTTCTAGATGGACCTTCCCTCTCAGTGGAAATGACCCATCCTGTCACCACACTTTTCTGGTACAGACTTCCTGTCTCTCTAACAGAACATTTTACTGTGCGTGCCAGTCTCCCTGTCAGTCTCTCTCACCAGATCTTAAGCTGTTTGAGCACCAGGGGGTAGGTGTAATTTGGCTCCATACCCAGTGCCTAGCACAGAACCAGGCATGAGCACAGATCAATGGAATAGTAAAAGCCATGTGTTGGAGACCCTGCAGTCAGCATTCAGCTTGTGGGAGGAGATACCTGTAAACCACACGACCTGTGAAATGCCTGCCTGGCCTGGCCTGGAATTCCTGGTTTCCATTATTTTATCTGATCTCCCCGGCTGGTCTGATTGTAAAGGAGAGCTGAAGTTGTGGGCTGTATTCAGGGGCCTCAATAGATGCCCAATTGGCTGGAGGTAGGGATGGAGGGCTGGGAAGATGGGCTGGGGTGAAAAGGCTGTCTCCTGACACATTCTTAGTTCAGAGTGTGAATCTCTCATTTTAAAGTGCAGATCTGAGTTTCCAATTAAGTTCTGGGGCACCTCCTCTTGGCTCCACCTCGATGTGTGTTCACTCACCAAGCATTTACTGAGCACCCATCAGGTACCAGGCTGTATTCTAGGTGTTGGGAGTATTTCAACAATTTGTAGGTGGCTTTGCTGTTCCAGACGCATACATATCTTGTTTTAAAACTCACAAACTGCCTACATTCCGGGAGGTTAAGTGATTTGCCCAGGGTCATACAGCTAGTAAGCAGCTGACTTAGAATTTAAATCCAATCCTATCTGATTTCAAAGCACGTGGCCTTTCCATGTTTAAGGCTCTCTCAGTCAAACCAGATGAAACAAAACCTACTGATAAGGAAAGCAGGTTTGGATATGCCCTGATGAATAGTCTAAGCCCGTGGTGGGCAAACTGCGGCTCTCAAGCCACATGAGGCTCTTTGGCCCCTTAAGTGTGGCTCTTCCACAAAATACCATGGCCTGGGAGAGTCCATTTTGAAGAAGTGGTGTTAGAAGAAGTTTAAGTTTAAAAAATTTGGCTCTCCAAAGAAATTTCATTCGTTGTACTGTTGATATTTGGCTCTGTTGACCAATGAGTTTGCCGACCACTGGTCTAAGCTGATCAGTGAAACCTCAATGTTTACCTCCCAATCCCTGCCAACATTTTCTCAGCATCCATTCCTTTTGGACAGAGCATCAAGAAAAGTGATTTAGAATCTAGGTCTCGAGAGAGAGAGGATTGCAAGCTCCCATCTTGACTATACCTCAGCCCCAAGTAAGAAAGTTAAGGTAACTAACTGCCTTGTCAGGCGCCCTCCAAAATTAGGATGCGGCACTGAGAGGAAGTAAGACTATGAGATTCCAAAAATGGGCTACATACACCGCCCTCCGCCCTCCGGGTGCCTGAGGTGGGGCCAGTCCCTTCATCTCTCTCTGCCTCAGTTTCCCGATCCCAACTATGGACCCCACACTCCTGCCTTTGTTGAGGGAACCAAGTGAGGGACTGGGGGCAAATGTGCTTCCGAAATCACAAAGCCTGGGCACCCAGGGCTCACTGGGCGATCAGGATCAGAGATCCTTTTCCCGATAAATTGACTGTGACCTCCCACAGGCGCCCGGCCGTGCCCTGGGGAACCCATGCCTGGTTAAAAGGGGAAAGCGGCTCCATTTACCTTTAGGGTGATAACCCGGCTGGGAGTCTTGATCTCGAAAGTTCCCTCCTCGGAGGCGTCCGGCTTGCAGTCGAAGACCGCCCCGGAGAGGTCGATGCTGTCCAGGGGGTTGGCGTCCTGCGCGGTCCGCGAATAATACAGGTGGCATTTCCTCTCGTCGTAGAAGAACCAGCGAGATTTCCAGCCGCGGAGGGGCCCCTTGCCGCCAAACTTACTCAGGTAGCCGCAGAGTTTCTTGGGGGCCGTGTCCGGGGGCCGCGCGCAGCCCTCGGGCTCCTCCTGGGGAGGCAGCAGTTCGGGGCCCCGAGTCTCAGGCTCCCCGGACCCTTGGGCAGGGGAACTGGGCTCCGGGGGCTTCTCCCGGGCGCCCTCCATCCCCACTCGGACCGCACAGGGTGAGGAGGTCCGCAGCCCTACTCGGGTCCAGTCTCGGAGGCTCTGGGGGCGATGTGGGTGCGCGGGCGGGCCCTGGGGTGACCCGCGGCGGTGAGCGAGCCGCACCGACCCAAAGCCCGGGAGGGTGGCGGGCCACACCCCTCTGCCCTGCTGAAGCCAGGCCACGCCCACAGACACGCCCCCTCAGGTCAGTTACCCCGCCCACTTCCGGGTTTGTACCTGACCTGTCAATCATCTTAACTGAGGGCAGCTGCGGGGCGGGAGGAGGGCCTCCAGCTGGGGGCGTGGTGTCCCTGAGCTAGGCTAACGGGCGGGAGCGGCACGGGAAGGAAGGGACACCGGTCACGGTCGATGCCGTCCTAGGAACTTGCGTAGTGATGTCTAAGGAAAGGTCCTCACGCCCATGGGCCGCCGCCTTTTCTCCCCCACCCCCCACCCCGGGGCCGCGCGGGTCTCCGTCGGACGGCGCATCGCGCGCCCATTGGCTGAGAGAGACGCCGGGCTCGGTGGCACCACTTCCGGTGTTGCGGGGCGCGTGGGGCTCCTGGGTTCGGCCGCCAACTTTTCCTCTTTGGTTTAGTTGTGCGCCTCCGTGGCTCTCAGCCGGCCGCGGCGGCCTCCCCCGCCTCTGTCCCAGCTCCAGCTCACCACCTGCCGGCGCCGGCTGCATCAATACAGGGCGCCCAGGCTGCTGCTGCGCCGCTGGGCGGGGTGGGGCTCGGTAAATTTTGCAGGAACTAATGATGAGAAGCTGTACCGAGGCCCCAACTCGCTCAACTTCCTGCTACTTCTGATCTCTTGTCCTTAACTCTCTCCTTCCTTCCAGCCTAGGGCGCATTCTTCCATCTGGGCCATGGAGTCCATTTCTGTCCACCCCTCTAGCCCTTTCTTAACCCCTTCTCCCTCGTTAGCTGACAAATGTTTGATATAGCATTACTTATTATTTAAAAAAAAAAAAAAAAAACTGGAAGGAATGGCCCTGACTGGTTTGGCTCAGTGGGTTGAACGTTCGCCTGCGGACTGAAGGGTCCCAGGTTCGATTCCGGTCAAGGGCATGAACCTTGGTTGTGGGCACATCCCCAATAGGGGTTATGCAGGAGGCATCTGATTCTTGTTTCTCTCTTATCAATGTTTTTAACTCTCTATCCCTCATCCTTTCTCTCTGTAAAAAGTCAATAAAATATGTTTTTTTAAAAACTGGAAGGAATATACATGACCCAAAATACGAAATTGGTTAAGTAACTGATTTGGTACTTTTTGCAGAAGGATATGGACTTCTACGGAAAATAATTAGGTTGAAAAAACAGGCCACAAAACTATTTTCGAAAAACTTACTTAGCTAAACAGTATGTTTATGACCGTAAGGTTGGAAAGACGATGTGTAATATATGAGTATTAGGGACAGAAAAGGGGAACTCCTGTTGATCTAAATGCATTAATTACTGCATATCCTAATGGATACACTTCTGGTAATTACATCAAAATATAGTCAATATCCCGCCCCTCCTCCTTGGAGGATATTGTTAAGCTGCAAAGCAAGAGGTTGTTCTAAAGTGACACCTTGTGGCCTTTGTGGTGTACTGCTCTTGTCTGCAATAGGCGTTCCCAAGCTTTTTTGTTAATGGGCTTAAAAGGCACACAGGAATTTGGGTAACCCTCCAACAACCCCCTAATTTTACAGTTAAAACATAGGTTTAGGCCTATATTCGCTGTATAAAACTACCCCACACTTCAAAGAAAAGACTTACTTTGCCGTCAAGATCTGCAGGTAATTTTTGTGCAATTTTGGTCTTTTGCCCCCGATTTTCGATTGACTTTTTTTCGTTTCAAAAGTCATCTTATATGCCGGAAAATACAGTAACCCAAACAGGCAGGTTAATAATCTGACATCCTTAAAAACAACGTATTTTACATAGACCTTCAACCCACTTATTTAGTGAAGGCAAGAGAAACAGATTATCAACAAAAGCATGTGTTTCTTCATGTTCAGTAAGGGTGTATTACATGCACTAATGAACATATTTTAAGTTACTTGGAGGTGTTTTCCATGTTGATTTTTTTCTCCTCTTTCTATGGGCTAGTTTTAGTTCTCTTATGAAGGAAAGAGTACAGTCTTATTGAAAATACTTTTAAAAATGTTAGGCTTTCTGCTGAACATCATGATATAATTTCTAACATACCTATTTTTGAGTAGTATAATTTTCAATGGATAAAACCCAAGGATTCATGTTTATCTGACACATGATTTTCAAATAGATAATGTTTAAAGAAATTAGGTTCATTTAAACCGACAAGCCTTTTGCAAACATGGTACTCATTGGCAGTTTTCCTATAAAATATTAAATCAGGCAAACAGATAAACAACGTTTAATTTTGCAATTTAACATGACCCTCATGGTCAAAATTGGCTCCCCAGCTACTTGGCAGGATCACTGTAACAAATGTCTACTCCATCAGTCCAATTTTGCATGACTGAGCCTCATGGAAATTCAGTTCTACACAGCAAGCACATGTTTTACAGCACTGACTAGTAGTTATAGAATCTTGAAAGAAATGACCTGACAGTCCAGACATTGAAGACTGTTTTATTTTATATCCTACTTCAAATTCTGAATGTAAACCAGATTATACAAAAGAAACTTTAGTTCCAGGGAAACTTGCTTTTAAATTTTTTATTTTATTTTAAAGAATCAAATAACATGAGAGAATATTTTTAGTTTAATATTCACAAGTATATAAGCCAGATAAATATATTTTTTAAAAACAACACACCTAGATTTCCAAGTTTTATGTTCTTGGTGTGCTTGGTAAGAAATGTAGGAGTGTCATTTAATGGGTGGGGAGAGAAAATTCTAACGGGAAATTAAATACCAAGTACTTTCATCACTTCTTCTCTAGTGTCTCCAGAGTGAGACTGTCTGTATTTGAATTCTGGCTCTATAATCAGATGTCTGACCTTGGACATAGTTACTTAGCCTCTCTGCCTGAGTTTCTTCATCTGTATAACAGGTAATTATATTACCTACCAGGTAGGTTACTACATGATTATATGAGATAAGCCACATAAAGTGCTTACACAGTGTCTGGCACATAGAAAGCATTTGGCAAGTGTTAGCTACTAGGATTAGCATGAGTTCTAGGAATCCTAGGGCCTTTAAGCTGGTAGGGACCTCCCAGCATTCATTTGTACCAGATCATTTTCTAAACTCTCTTATTTTTATTCAAGATTCTGTAACTAAACACTGTAACACATGCTTGGCATGTAGTTACCCTTGGTGGGGATGGGTAGTGGGGAAGATAGTATGAGGATTCTCCCCTATTGGGGTGGAGAGATTATTTGCAGCAAGAAACTGGGAGAGGGAAGGAGTTAAATTTGGCACTACCTCTATTCTAGAATTTTCCCTCCATCCCTCCTCCCTCCTTTCTTCCCCACCTTTTCTTTCTTTCCAGCCCACTGTCTCATCATCTATATAATATTTTGTCTCATGGAAATGAGGTTTCACTAATTTTTCTTGAGACTAGAGCAGATGCAGATGAGATTTGGAATTTACTTCTGTTTCCTGCAGAAAATCTTATCCCAAAGTATGTTCAGTCGTAGCTTGTTGTGTGCTGTTTGTCTTTATGCTGCAGAATCTTCATAGACTCTAATGGATTTTTTTTTTTTTTTTACTGCCCAGGAAAAGGCATATTTTATTGAGGTATATAATAAATGATGTGTGATTTCTTTATATACATGTATGATTTTTATAGAAATATGTATATATAAAATATACATATTTATATTTTTATATGTATATCTATGTGTAAAAGGGTAAGTGACCATCGGACCATTTGACTGGCCAGTAGGTATGATGCACATTGACCACCAGAGGGCAGATGCTCAACGCAGGAGCTGCTGAGCTGTGGTGACTTGGCAGCAGTGGTTCTCAGGTGACGCAACCCAGAACCAGAGAGGAAGGAGCCCAATTCCTCGAGGGGCTGTGTGATTCCACCTTCGGCCATGGGTTATGTTGTTGCAGGGGCACTGTTGACCCAGAATCTGGTTTACTGCGGAGCTGCAGTGACCGCAGATGCCCTTTTGAGCCACTGTGCTGCCCCAGGTGCAGCTGGCCTGGAGGGACTGCAGGAGGTTGGCTCTAGGGCATGTCCGGCCCCATCTTGCCCTGTCCCACCCCACTGACCACTTTCTAATTTTTTTCTTTTCAATATGCATGAGTCTTTCTGTGTGTGTGACTATATGTATATGTGTTACTATACACATATAATCACATATCGTAAGTGTACAGCTCAAAAAAATTTTTTTAAAAATATATTTTATTGATTTTTCACAGAGAGGAAGAGAGAGGGATAGAGAGTTAGAAACATCGATGAGAGAGAATCATCGATCAGCTGCCTCTTGCACACCCCCTACTGGGGATGTGCCCGCAACCAAGGTATATGCCCTTGACCGGAATCGAACCTGGGACCTTTTAGTCCGCAGGCCGACGCTCTATCCACTGAGCCAAACCGGTCCAGGCTCAAAAATTTTTTTTCTGTTGTTAATCTTCACCCAAGGATAATTTTCCATTTAATTTTAGGGAGAATGGAGGAGAGAGGGAAAGACAGAGAGAAACATCAATGTGAGAGAAGCCCATTGATCGGTTGCCTCCTGCACAAGCCCTGACCAGGAACTAGGCCAGGGAGTAGCCTGCAACCAAGATACAGGCCCTGGACCAGAATTGAACCCGGGACCTTTGGTCCACAGACTGATGCTCTAGCCACTGAGCCAAACAGGCTAGGGCTCAAAGAATTTTTATGTAGTGAACACAGGCCTGTAAACACTGCTCAGATCAAGAGCCAGAACATTACTAGCACCCAAAAGCTTTCCTCACACTACGTTCCTCACCCAGGGTAACCACTACTGTGATGTCTAAAAATTAGTTTTGCTTCTTTTTAAACTTATTCAGGAATCTTACAATACATCCTCTTTTATGTCTGGCTTCTTTCACTTTGCATTTTTAATTTTTTTAGATTCATTAATATTGTCACATGTAGTTTTAGTTTTTTCCATTCTCACTGCTGTATAATATTCCGCTCTGTGAATATTACTACATCATATTTTTTTCTGACCTACCGTTGATAGCATTCGCCAGCCTGGTCATTTCTAAGCAG